TGTGTCCTAAACAGACCTAAGTTTTTACATTATTAATATTTTGTACTGTTGAAAAATACTCTGTGTATTGGCCTAGTTGATGCTCAACTACTGTGGTCACTGTTCTAATACAATATCAAAAGGAGAACAGTTTTTAAAGCCTGTGCTTCTTAATCAGAAAAACATTACCGATGCCACAGATACCATGAATACCACAGATACCAGCACTGGATGTGGTGCAAGTGTTTTCATGATTACATTGATATGTTACTGGGTCTGGAGATTCTCAATGACCAGTGGTCCACTGAAAACTTCACTTGGATGTTAATTCCTGAAATAAATGTAATGCAGTTGTAAAGCAACTTGTTAAAATCAGCTTGTGTACAGCTTTTTAAAAAAGTGTCTGCATCAAACTGCAACAGCTTCATTTTCTTTATCTCACTTTTCATTATCTGAGACCTAAGTCATCGACACGAGATGACACTATTATACGCAAACTGAGCAATTTTATGGTGAATCCTTTTTCTCAGTCCACACTGTTTTAGTTGAAAATGAACTACTTGGAAATATCTCCACGAGTAAAACCTCATTTTCAGTAGGGAAAAAAAAAATCTTTTATCACCAGTGTGCAGCTCCCAGGTTTCCATTTTGTTCTTATGAAGCATAAGGCAGTAAAATGTACCACCTCCCACTGGACAAAACACTAGGATATGAAGATCCGTTAAGTCTACCAACCTGCTCTGGAATACTCTCTCCAGTCTCCCCGTCCACTGGCTGCGCCCCTTGTAGGTTTACTCCATTTCTCCAGCTCTCCTGTTCCTCATTCCCGTCTTTGTTCTCCTGTGGGTTGGGCTTCTCCTCCTCACTCTCCTTCTGACGGTTGCTGTAGTTGAACACTTCTCTCCCTGCTCCAAGGTCGATGTCCTGTCGCCATAGGATGTCAATCAAGTCAATGTCCTAGAAAAACATATAGCAACCATTGAAAAATGGCCCTGTAGAGAAAAGTTACTTTAATAACCATGTATTGGGTAGGCATTTACTGTACTGAACTCTAATTCATTTTTATAGCTGAAAATATTTACTTTTTTATGTTAATAAGCTAGCACTTATACTGTTTATCTTTTATATAAGCAGTCTGGCTTTTGATTCCATTCGAGTGGGTTATTTTAGAAGGAGAGAGGCAGATCATGTAACAGAAATATGGTCAGATGATGTAACCATGACATACACACTTTGGCATGGTGGTTATCATGTGATCAGATAGAAGTCTCGGTGTATTACAGCACAAGAATGACCCATTACTCCACTGCATCAATAAAGCCATTCTTTGCAAGTTTTCTAAAGTAACTTAGATAAAAGACAAATAGAGAAAATAACCACTAACAATAAACTACTATACATAGAAATGTTGCTAATATATAACAACTAAAAATAGCATAGCTATCGTTTCTTTGGTGCTGTTTTAAGAGAGTAAATTAAGGAAGATAACTATTTGCTGTGCATTTAAAAGTTACACTCTAATGGACAACATTAAATGTGACCAGAATCACAGCTGTAGTCAATGTGACTCAACTGGTTTGACTAAAAATATCTGACACTGATAGAAAGACCAGGGGTGTGGACCAGGAAAGATACCAGTGTGTAATTTTACATAAACTGGGTTTATACTTTTTGCATTTTTTGGAACATGCTTAACTTGTGTTTTATGCTGACGAAACAAAAATTTTACTGAAACTTATTTACAGTAAACAACACTATCAGATTGATTGTTATGTTGTCATTAGGCAACTTACGTGAAGAAAAACTTGAATTTTTCTGAATATGTAATTGATTTTTGTTTACCTGGAAGATTAGTTAGGACATTCAAAACATGTATTTACAACCTAACATTTGAATTCTCACTACTGGGTCTATTTTAACATGAATATGATCAAGCATGATCAAATCCTGGTTTGGGACAGTGTTGAACAACTGTCACAAGGAGGTGTTTGCCCCCTCCTTGAAACAGTTGCTTCCCAGGTGTTAGCTGCAGTACCTCTTTGGTGAGGTCGTCATTGCCATCCCTGCTGCCCTGCTCCTGGTTGCCCTCGAGGGCCACAGCTCCCAGGCTGCTGTCCGCTGCGTTCAGGTTGTACGTGGATTCAGGTGCTCCACTTCCTCCCCTCATGGCCGGGGTAGCGTCAGGGTTGTCAACGTCCTCTAGGCCGGCCCCATTGTCCAGGGTAATGCTGGGGCTGGACTGGCTGCTGGCGGACACCACAGTCTCAGAGTCACGATGCACTAGCCAGGTGTTGAGCTCGGTACTGGGCACAGAGAGGCGATCCAGCTGGCGCACCTGGTTCAGCAGCCGTCGAGTAGTGAAGAAATGGTCGAGGTCCACACTCTTTGGATGGATGCCATAGCCGTCCAGCGTGTTGCGCAGGTTGTGAAACTGTGTCTGGGTGTAGGCTGAGCTAGGGCCCAGGATGATCTCTCTCAGTGGGGGTAGCTGATTGCTTAGATAGGTGTCAACGTCCACCCGCACCCCAATGAGACTCAGAAGGATGGTGAACTGAATCAGGCCCTCTGTGAAGTACTTTTTCAGGTAAAGCATTTCTTTACAAAGGAACAAAAGGTGAAAGTAAAAAATAAAAACAAAAACGGGGCCAACTACCTTGGATCAATACTTCTGTACTAGTACTAGAAGATGGAGATGGATACATGAGCATAAAAAGTGGTTAAAGATGGTGAGGGGACAGGGTCTTCAACAGGATTCTGTAAGTTTAAAAGGCATTTAGGATCCAAGATGGGGTTTCCACTTCTGCGAGTCCAGTTTGTGCTCAGAGCTTTGTTCTTCATAAGGTTCTCATCTTCCCATTCCTGACAAAAGTAAGACATGACATTTTATTGCTCTGCTGCAAACTATATTACATCAACATTATAATCGCGCTGCTTTCAGCCCTGAGACACACAAGTCTTACCTACCTACATTTGCATTAAGCACATGTTAATAAAATTAAAAAGAAATCAGGACTTGCTAGCCCACTGCAGCCACTCCATCCTCCCAAGACTAGAGAAGTGATGTCGGCTCGCACCGCGCAATGCCTTTTTCATTCTTGAAAATTCAGCAGACAAGAGATGATGAACACACAGCTTTAGTAGGCATCACCCCACCCTTGACAGGACAACTACTTCTTGTGGGTGCTGCTGAAGGTGAATGAGGGAGTCGAGAAAGCTCGCTGGGCTGGCTAGCACACGCACCAACGACAACGTTAGGTGGCGGACAGGGTCCCTCCCTCCTCTTCGCCGCTTACGACGTTAGCTCTGAGGCTACCTTGTGTTTTGAGAGCCCGGCTACAGCCATTATACACGTATAATGGCCTTGTTGGCAATAATAAGAGGTGTCGCCACATCAGCTAGTCAACTTGCATCTCTGTTTACCCTAAAAAGTGACAGGTACCTCTACTGGCATTTATCTACTGGCATCAAACAATCTCCCTGGCAACAAGTGGTGAAAAGGTGACTGACAGTTTATTCAGCCATTCATAGGACTCAAGCGCGGTGACGACACATGACTCCAGCCAGTCCAGCCAATAAAAATACACCGTGGGTGGGGCTTGAAGAAAACTCTAAATTACTATTGGAAGTCTGACCCTACACGGTGCTAGCCTCGTTAGCTAGTTTGCTGCTAACTACCGTAACAATTCAACTACTTTGAAAAGTAACTTAAACAACACACTCTGCGATGTCCATTCATTCGCACATAAATACTTCTTATTAATCTACGGGTCCGCTAACGTTAGCTAATACCACGAATCAGTGCAATCCATGTAGCGGCTTGTAACGCATTAGTTAATTGAAAACCTCTTGATTTGGTACTTACGCATGAACTGTGTCTCCATGCCCAAAAGTCCGCTATCAGCTAATGCCAGGATTCAAATCCTGTTTTCATTAAAAGTTCCACAGTGCTGCCCGATTTAGCCTTTCCTCACTGAATGGCCCACCATGACTTGCAAAATTGCTAGCTGGCCCGGCTAGCCTAGCAGCGCCGCTTGACACCAAAACACGCTTTCACACTGAGCATGCGTAGAACATTCTAGTGGCAAGCTTTCATCAGCTTTCAGCACGAGTAATATTAAACATTTTATACATATTTTATACCAATAAACTCTAATTTTTTAAAAACATATTCAGTCGGACCAGCCGCTTGACTACATTTTATTTATTCCAAACAAATTTTAAAAAGCCAGCGGTGGAAATCCTTTACTTCCCAATACAATGTAAAAATACTCAGGACTACAAGTAGATAACTACATTAAAAAAGTATTTCATTAATATAATCAGCACACTGTGATATAAGCATTTTCTTTTTATATATTTCCTTATAATGCACATTAATCAACATCACTGTAAAAGTGCCACTATTAGCCAAAAGTTAAGTAAATTTTTTTTGTATCCTCAGTATCACATTGAAATATTTTTCCTCAAGGGGCGTGACAATCTGTAGAGCAATGTTCCTTGGCAAGATGTTAAATGAGCCATTAATACCATACATGTAAAATCATGACACAGAACTATAGGATAAGAAGCTTAGAATGCATGTACAATGCAGGCAGTAAATATAAAACAATGTTAAGCTAACAATAAATTAGATTACAGATGATAAAACCAGAAGGGACACAGTCTGACGAACACAGACAAGAAGCCAACCAAATGAGAGCAGATAAGGCAAGTATGCAGGTATGATGTCAGGACTGGTTGCCGTTTAAAAAAAATGTATTTGGTGGAAAAACAACTCCTAGACATCTGAAACATGACAAGCGGCCTCAGAGTATTGTACTGTATTTGTAAACTTATTATAAGTTTTCAATGTAACTCCAGCTGTCACATAAATGTAGTGGAGTAAAAAGTGCAATATTTCCCTCTGAAATGTGGTAGTGGAGTACAAATATGAAGTAAATTAAATCAGAAATAATCGAGTAAAGTAAAGGTCTAGTAAGTATTAGAAGTTACTGAAAGTCATGAAAACAAATCAATGATACTGATATTTGGCCAGCAACGTCAGCCATTTATTAATTTGTCAAAACAGTTCTGTTAAAAAAACTTAAATGATCTGTAAAACATCAAATGTTTAAATTTAAATCCAGAAAATGTAAAGAACACAAAAGACTTATAATTAAATACTCCTTTTATTTCTCCTTGTAGATCATGACAAAATATTTTTTGTGAGTGTCTGTGAAGCTCACTATATATTAACCCCCATCAGGTTGACAGGCCTGCTGTGGTATCGCTTCGAAATGTCTGCTTCGATCTGCAAAAACAAATTACAGTTGACAGTCAGAAATAACAGTAATAATACACAATACTACTGAGAACCTCCAAGGTATAACATAGAGTAATTATAAGTTGTGCTGTGCAGTATACATTCCTTTCAGTTAATCAGTTAAGCTGCCTCCCAATGTTAACTGAACCCTTAGGGATGAGAAAAATGCTGCACAACCTTCTCATTCTAGTGAGCTGGGGAATCACCAACCCTGTAAACATAAATAAAATGAAACAGTAATCCAATACCAGTTTCTGGAGTTCCCGGGTGCATCCTGCCAGCAGGTCGACACGAGGCTCCAGTCTGGACTGCTCCTCCAGGGCTTCCTGCCTTTTCTCTGCCATTGTGGCACCTTTCAGCACCAGGATATCTGCCTGCTTCAGCTTCTGCCTCAGCACCTCCGACACACGCTCAACATACCTAAACACATATATTATATATAATGAATAACGAGAAAAGACGCATGTAACATTATAGAAATAAACCAAGGATTTTCCCCTTCTGTCCATACCAGATTTCTGCATTGTTGTTCGAGTTTCATCAAATTCTGTGCAATGACAAATGTGTAGTGTACCGTGGTGAGGCCTGGATCATAAACAGGTGCTGCATCCGGAGAGAGGTGAGCCGGCCCAGAAGGTCCTGCACCTCAGACAGCATCTCCCGGGTCTGCTCTCGGGTCTGGCCTTGGATGACGGAAGGGGCCAGCTGGAACTGGCTCATGGAAACCACATCTCCCTCATCTCCCATCTCACTGATGCGCTGGGTTAGGAAAACTTCCAGCTGCACCAACATATGAAACCAGTGTCATGTCTTAGTGATTGATGATTTAAATACTATCAAATAAATGACTGTTCAGCCTCCACACCCTATAACCCCACAATAATTAATTCCTATTTAGTCTGCGATTGTCAAATGCAAGTTAAAATATACACTGTGAATTCCTTTCAAACCCATAGTTGTTGTGGCTTTGAATTTGCATATGTAAATATAAATGTTTAGTTGCTAACACAAAAAGATTACTGAGCATGAACAGATTTTTTGGCCACTTGGGGGCAGCAGAAACGAGCTGTAAACACAAAATCTGTTATGGTATCACATTATTAAGTTGATACGGGATACTTGTTAGCGAACAGTAGCTTACATAGACATCCAACAGAGACAGAGAAACAATATCATTCATTTGGAGGCGTGTCTGTGTCCACCTGATTTATATAAGTCCAATTTTCACTCTCCTTTTAGCTCTGTTTGGTCAACTACTGGGTAGGCAGTATACAGAGGATTTTTAAAGCTTTTTTGCTGAAAAAAAAAATCATCGAACACAACTAAAAACTACACTATGAGAGTGGTGAGAGTGAACCACAAAGCTCTGCAGAGCTGAGGTGGCTGCATATGCAGACAATAATTATCTGTGTTCATCACAAGCCTTTCACCTGCAGAGTCATTTGATCCCTTGTTAATATACAAGTATTGATTGAGGCAACTTTAAGAATCCCATTTACTGTTAGTCATCATAATCTGCAAAAGCACACAATCCATATCTGAGAATATTTTGTTTTTTTCTTTTAAATCAATTTTACATTTATTATAGAGGGATATCAAGTTATCTTTTTAAGTCATTTATCAAATATTTACTGGTTCTAGTTTTACAAATGTAAGAATTTACTGTTTTTCTGTATCACTGTAAATTCAACATCTTTGGATTTTTAACAGTTTGTGGGACAAAACCTGACATCATATGACAAGCATTATGCACATTTTTACTATGCTCTATTTTTTTACAGCACAAATAATGAAAAAAACATTAATTGGATTAGTAGACAATTAAAATAATTATTAGTTGCAGCTGTTGTGTGTATGCTTTTTTACATCTTTGTTTGTTTTATTCATAATTCTGATGACATTAGTGGACACACAGGGTTAGAGAGGTAATTACACCCTTCTGATGACCGTACTCTTTACCTCCATTAACTCATCAATGAACTGGCCGCGTGACTGAGAGTTCTCCAGTAGAGTCAAAGCGTCCTCGCCCCTTGCCACGCCTTCAGGACCTACAAGATGACACACTCGTCTTTAGCAAACACACATTTCAAGCAGCTGAGCATGTGGTTAAGTTTAGCTGGAGGCATAATGGTGATTAAAAAAAAAAAAAAACTCACAGTCTGTGCCCACATCTACAACTTCGATTTCTATGGGAGCAGCGTCACTGTCACCCCAGTCGATACCTCCTGCACCAGCATCCTGTTGAGGGAGACAGACGGATGTTGGTATTTTTGAGCAAGATTACCAACTTTAAACTGGATGTTCCTTAACACTGTTAATTATATAAAAGTGTATATTATTACAGTAATATTAAGTACGTTAAGTACAGTTTGGATACCATTTAAAGCAGAAACTGGACATTTAAACCTCTATGTAATACTTAATGTAATTAATACAGATAAATACTGAATGTAAACTAGTTATAAATATATTCTTTTTGTAAAGACAGATATTAATAATTGAAAAATATAAGGTGAACAAAATGCATATGTATCTGTATGTGGAGGTGTCATACCTCAGAGGTTGGCTCCAGACTGATACCCCAGTCTATACCATCCTCAACTGTGATGCCAGCATTAACACCCACACTGTCTGTTCCTTTGCCAAAGTTGCCCCAGTCGATCTGAAGCAGGTTTTAAAACACAACACAGAAACACACAGTCGGTAGTACTGAGCTGCCACATGAGTCCTGGGGCTGTAACACTGAAATCTGTTTAGAAACCATGTTAATTTGCTTATTCAGAAAATTGAACTGTATAATAAAATGGATTTAAGAAGAATTTATAAATGAAGAAAACTAAATTTGACTCAGGCGATTTTTCTTTGGATTAAACATGGGAAGTTTCTGTAATTTGACTCTGATCAATGCTCAATATAGAGTCAGTCAAACTAACCGTGTCCTCTGTGACTGTATCAGGAGGTGCATCGTCCACGACTGGCCTGTCAACAACTGCGGGGACTTTCCCTGTTCTCCACTCATAAAACGTTGTGTTCCCTCTCTTCTGGGCCAATGTCAGCATGGGCAAGACTGGATCAGACCTACAAATAACAACATATGAGCTCATGTGACCACAAATAAAAAAAATCCCCATGGTTTTTACAGTTAAAATAACTGTTTTATACCGACAGTTCTACACTTTATTTAGACTGCTGTGAGGGATTTGTATGTATACTAAGAAATATATTTGTATTTTGAAACTTCTTACGGGCTTGCTGAATCAGTGGTAGTCATATCACTGAGCTTCACAGTGTAAGCAGGGAAAGTAAAGGGAAAAGCCAGAGTGACGGCATTGATGATATACTCACCACTCACATACAAAGTTTGTGAAAGCAGCATAAAGTCGGATTTGCTCCTCTAATTTTGCTGAGTCCTTCCCAACTTCCTCAAGAACTGCTGGCAGGTCTTTCACCAGAGCCTGAAGCTCACGAGCCACATTTTCTCCCTGGCAGAAGAAAAAAAGTAAAGCAACAGGATGACGAATGGCTACACAGAGAGCAAGAGTCTGACCAATCAGCATGCCAGTAATCCGTCTTTTAATAAAAATGTATGATTCTGACTATTTGCAGGATGTCAGTGTGTGCGTCTAAGTATTCTCCAGTTGGTGTGCATGTGTTTGCACTTACTGTGATGCCATACTTTTTGCAGGCAGCATAGTATCGTTCCCTCAGGTCTGCGGCTGAGCTCTGGCACTCCACTTCCCGCCTGCTCAGCTCCTGCTGCAGCTGCTGGGCTTTGGCCAGCTGCTTCCTCAGAGCCGGGCCTTCGTAGCTCACATTGCGACTCAGCAAGCTGGCCACCTCCGCTGGGTCATACAAACAGATTTTTTAGTATTAAAGAATTCTGTACATGCAATTAATTTGTTTGTAGCCAGATGCTACTCCCCCATATTCTATAACAATATTGCAAGAATAACCTGAGCAGCAGCAACAAAAACTATGAGATTTTCCGGTTTCCAGGAGAATATCAATAGTTATTTGAATCAAAAATAGTTTTTCTTTCTCAAAATAACTTCCTTCCATATAAAGTATGAGAAATGAAAAGTCTAAATGTGTTTGCAGATGCTGTCATACTATAATAAATACATAAGACATAGCTTTTTATTTTAAACTTACCCAAATAGACATTATCTGTCTCATAAAGGGACACAATCTCCTGCCAGTCCTGTAACAAAAACAAACAAAAACACAATTCAAATCCAAATTTTAAGAGTTTTAGTAGTTTTAACAGCAGAGAAACATGCTATAAAAAAATCTCCTCACACCACTTGGTTTGAGATACTAATTATAAACATCTGGCTGACTGAGTGACATGCTGTGAGACAATAGAAGCTTTTCTGATTCCTCTCACCTTCATCCTCTGAGATGAATATCTGCCGAAAATGTTCTTAGAGGAAGCTTCTGTTCCCTTCAGTATCTCCACTATCCTCAAGCAGTGAAAGTAGTGAATGTCTATCAGTGCAAACAAACATAAGTATGTGAGTTTATAAGCATTCATACAGAGGAAGAGGAGGACGACAGGTAACAACTAGCAATTAACAGGTACACAATAATTATACTACATTATATAACAAAACACATATTAATACAGCTCATCTAGCCCTACTTTGTGCCTCTCGTGTGTTATCAGTTTATTCATGTCACAGACTTAATCATTAGTTTTTCTGAGAGATAAATCACTGTTGATCTTTGAAAAAGGTCCATGCGATCATTTAACACCTAAGCTGCAACTCTACCTGGAAGTTACATATCTACAACATTTTTATAAAATAGTGGAAAGTAACAGTTAGACACACACACACACACACACACACACACACACACACACACACACACACACACACACACACACACACATACACACACACACACACACCTGTAACTTTTACTATAATTTTTACTGTATTTTGTATGATACAAGAAAACATAATAAAAAATATAAAGTATAAGTATGACTGTTAATTTATTTGTAGTACAAATTGATATTTTCTTATTGTCTTTTTTTTTTTTTTATCCAGTTGGTAAGAAGTGTCTCTGAGGAATCTGGGAATATCTTCAAAACTGTGGTAATTTATGTTTCATAAAAATGCATGCTTAGCTCTGTGGCAGTGACAGTCTTGGGGTATAAGGGACCTACAGGAGCCGGAGAGAAGCTGCTTGATCTCCTCGTTCTCTGGCATGTCCTGGATGGCAGCATTGATCTTCTCTCTGATCCCTTTTACTGCACTCTGCCATTTCAGATTACAGTGTCGTCGATCCAGCAGCCAGTCTGTGGACAGAGAATAATTCATTAGAATTAATATCTTTAGATTATGGCGTTATTTGACTAATCTATTGGAGGCAACATGTGAGAACTGTACAGGATCAGTATAGCAGGTGTTGGTTATAGTTCTGCTGTAGAAGATACACAAGTCCTTAATTCATACACAGTTACAATAATGCATGGTATTAACAGTCCTTTACTTTTTTTTCATTAATTTTGTTTGAGCACAACATAATTCCTTAGGTAAAACAGGTAAAGACATTTTTCTGAGATTCATCAGAAAGTAAAAGATTTGCTTGAAATAATGATATTGGAGAAGAAACAAGAAAGAGTAGAAACAGATTTGTTTGTTTCACAAGTTTAAATGCTTAATGAGAACCTATTTTACTTCAAGCAAGTTAAACAAGACCAATGCAAACATTTCTCTAAGTCAGTGGTACTCATATTGTTAATTATGATATTCCTTTGGGAAGAAAAAGTGCTATATTTTTGTCATCAGCACAGCAGTGCTTGAAATATCCACTAAAGCTTTATCTTAGTTGATGGCTAAAGGGCTTGTTATCTGTGGGAAAATTAACACTTGGATTAAAGGGAAAATCCAAAGATGTGGGGACCCATGCAGGATTTTCCAATACAAGATTTTTATTTATCTATCTTGAAGTATAAAGTTGTGATTTTCTATTGTTGTCTTCGTTTTACTTAAATCCGATTTAACTTATTTAGCATATATGTGTACATATAGTATAGTATAGTATATGCTCCATGTACACGTGTGTGTATACGTGCATATATACTACTACTAGCTTTTTTTAATATCATGTTTTATATGTTTGACATAGATTCAAAACAGAATAAATACATTAAAAAAGGCCGTTTTGTCATCGTGTGTTTTGCCTTACCCAGAAGCTTGCTGGTCTGAATGTCGATGGGAAGGTTTTGAATATTCTGTTGAAGTGTGAAGACCGCAAAAAAAACATAAGTTATTTACTATTTATTCCATATTTTCCAGCTGTACCAATCGCAGGGAGAAAACTGTATATTCTTCAGCTCGACTGATAACAAAAACACATCACAGCTAACAGCACAATAACAACTATTATCTTTACTAATTTCTGAAAGTGATTATTTTTCATTTAACTGTACTTTGACTGTGTGACAACCAGCTAACGTTAGCTAGCAGGCTGATTAAAACCGAGTGAGGCAGCGGTTATTTCAGCTTACCTCCATTGTCTCTTCACTTTATTTGCTTCTAAGATGTTTTATGGCTTAATAATAAAATACGTTTGTTTATAATATGTTTGTTTAAAAGGTTTACATCCAAAATCATTCTTACCATCCGGATTTCACTGTTTACGACACGTTACAAAAAGGAGAGCCAATAGGAGGAGGCGGTGTTACAGTCAGCAAAAAAATTGACCAATGACATTTCACTATACTGGTAGCTGCAGTTGATTGGTCAATATGATTTGTTGCACTTCTTAAAATAGTCAGCAGAGGGCGATGTCGTTGTTTTAAGGCAAGGCAAAGTCATTTTATTTTATTTTATTTCATTTATTTACATCTATATATCTATGTTTTTATTTCCTGGATCGTTTTCCTTTAAATGGCCTACTTCTCATTTCTGGTTTAACTCACTTCAATATATCTCATCTCTTTTAGTATTTGAATATTTTCTCTTTATCAGTCTATCTTTATCTTTGTTTTCATTTCTTTGGTGTTTCCTCATTGCACATTTATGAGATTCACGATAGTGTCTCCTCAGTTCCTGTTATTACTGTTTTTCCATTTTATTTATAACAGTCATTTATTGCTCTGTGTGTGGATTTTAAGACATGGAAAAGCAGTAAATTCTTACTTATAAGAGAATGGAACCATTAAATGATTGGCATTTTTACAATAAAAATAACTTAAATAATGCTATATAGCCTACTATTGAGTAGTTTAATTATAACAATGCATCGTATTTTATCATTTCTGTTTATGTTTTGAATGTAAAAAATACCTAAGTAAAGTAAAGGATCTGAGTACTTTTACCACTGTGAATGATGTAACACTTTGGTGTCTGCTGGACAGAAGGCCATTAAGTCCCTGCATGTACAGCAACAGCAGCAGAGCCTCTCAAGTAACCTAATTTCAGGTCATTTGAATGGTGACCAAACTTGCAAAGTACATGTCAATTCACTGTCCGTGATTTTGCACAACATATGCAAAGCATCAGGGACACTCCCCTCATTCAGATGATCTTTCAGCGAGTCCATAGCTGTCTCTCTCTCTGACTCTTTTTGTCCAGTTTAAATTAAGACTTGTGTAACAGGAAACTTAAATACAAAGATAAACTTGACTCTACATCCAAATTCCATACTAACTAAATGAAGACTGGGTTTTAACGTGACACAGATAGAAGTAATTTATTTGCAGTTTGGAAAGCTGCTCACCTCTCAAGTTCACATTAACCCTGCTGTCAGTAATCTAGCCCAAAGGACGGTCTCACTAAATCACATGGTTACAACAGTCATTTACTCACTCATGCACTCAGCTGGGCGGGCTTTAGGTGTGTGTGTGTTTGAGGAGGGTGTGTGCTGGAGTGGAGTACAGAGGGACAAGGTCAGAGAGCGAAGAGGCAGAGAGGAAGAGATGCTGCACCTGTGCATGATCACCTGAGGAGGAGAATAAGAAGAAGAATAACAAGAAGAAGAAGAAGAAGAAGAAAAGAAAACAGAGAGGAGTTAAAGAATTCATAAACATGGCGGTGCAGTATCACATCTGAGAGAATCTCCTTCAGCCAGCTCGTCGTCATCAGGGTAAGAAAACACATTCAAGCACCTGAAAGCTATTTTATGTCTCTTATAAACTGCTGCAGAAACTGTCCCTGTGAGCGTTTTATTTGCTTGGCAACAGAATACACATTGATCTCAGAATATATCCAGTAATATGGTTGAAAGTATTAGTTTGGTTTATTATCAGTCTAATAAAGTATATTTATAAAATATAACACATCAGACTCTGTCAGACATAGAGCAATAAAGTCCAATACTCATTTCTAACATTGTCCCTGCACAGATGCAAGATGGTGGAACTGCAACAACAATCGATGAACTAATTAGTCGATTGAAAGAAAATGACACTGATTGATTAGTCATTTAGGCAATTTTTTTAGAGCAAAAATGCCAAAACATTTTATGTGTCCAGCTTCTCAAATGTGATGATTTCACACTTTTCTTTGTCATACATGATAGTAAACTGAATGAAGTTTTGGAGTGTTGGTCGACCAAAAAAGACATTTAATGATATTAACAGGTGCTCTAGGATATTGTGACGGACCTTTTTCACTGTTTTTATGAGGTTTTACCAAATGTGGTTTAAACCCTATGTCAGAATACTATAACTTCCTTATAGTCATGAATCTAATGACATTTTTGGACCTTATCAGAATATAATGTCTCATTATAAGAAGTTTTAAAGAAACTACAGAGAGTAAAAATGCCCACAGAATGAGCAATAAAAAGAATTACACACACTTACATAGGCACAAATTATTATTATTACAAACATAGACAGAGAACACCCACGGTCCCTTCATCAACTTGTTCAACTTTGCTGTCACGGGTCAACAGTGAAGCTGGCACAAAGGATGAAACCTGAGAATCTAATGAACCTTCAGCTCAATTATGAGGGCAGAACAGTCACTGGTGCCCTTGGAGCCTCCTCTGTCTCTCTCTCTCTCTCTCTCTCTCTCTCTCTCTCTCTCTATCTCTCTCTCTCTGCAGCTCAAACATTGTGCTATTGAAAAGACTTTGCAGCTGGTTAGTGATTTCCAAACGTGGCCGCAGCGTTCCCTTCCTGCTCTGATCTCTGAGGCTTTGCTGAGCAGCTCACCCACACATAACAAAATACACGGTAACTTATTAAAGAGAACTATGGAGGGCCTCTTTTGTGTCAACAGGGCTTTTTGTTTCAAAGGTCACATCTAAGTCAAACATGGAAGGACTAAAAGAAATATGTGTTAATATTGTTCACTGCTGTGTTCTCTTACTTAACACGGTGTGAAAGTGCTGCTCGCAGTTACTTTGTTCTGCAGAAACTGTTTTGATGGAAAGTCAACAACACGATGCAAATGCTGTGTAAACGTTTGTTATGGAGCAGCCTGTGCTTTGTTGAAGACAAAACGCATCCACTTTGCTGAAAAAAGAGAATTAACTTTAGATTTAGGACTTGAATCTAGAAATAATGATAGAAGCTGGGAAACAGATGTAAACACTGGCGTGAGACGGATGCTGCAGCCACCGAGGGGGGGGGGGGGGGGGGGGCGACTCATAAAAGCTCTTCTTGGTCAGCAGCACTATCTGTTACCTGAGAGTGTGTACACAACTAGGTCAGAAATAAACACAATTAGACATTAGTGGGGCAGACGACTAAAGTGCAGGTGCTCTTATGTAACAACTGTCCTTTAAATCTGTCCTTTGATGATAGATTTAAAGTTACTATTCAAACTCCATCAAAAATATACAATAAAAAAAACATCAACAAGTCAATTGTTTCCTCCGCTGCCTCTGTCTTGAACCTTTGCACTGCTTGTTCGTGCCTGGTGCCCAACATCACATGGTTCAGATAAGAGTAAGATGAGTGTTTCTGCAAAGGGCATGGACTCTTTATTTGCATAGGTGCTTCATGATAAAATGACCACACCAACACAGGATTTGTGCAGTTCATTGCTTCCTGTCAGCCCTCATAAAGCCGGAATCGTAGCATTTGACAAACTCATAAAAAACGATTTATTAGCCACAGTCATCCAAATGCTAAAATTGAAGCTAATGCTAAATGTAGCTGAGTAAAAAGTACAATAGTTCCCCCTGTAGTGAAGTAAAAGTAGCATTAAATGGAAACGCTCAAGTAAAGTACCTCAGTAACTGAGTAAATAGAGACTTTGCAACTAAACATCACAATTTTAATGATAAACTTATTTAGTCATGGTGTTGATGATTTCTTACAATGAGGAAGATGTATTATTTTTACTATTCAACCTAAATTTTTAGATATTTTGAATTTCAGATTTGGGATTTTAAGAAAATCAGCTGCTAAAGGGGTGTGAAAGGTTATTCTTAATAGATTCTTATGGCGTTATGTGCCCATGTTAGACAGTAGTGAGTGGATATACAGAGAGAGAGAGAGGGATATGAAAAAGCTCAACAGGATATCCTAATGCGCAAGATGACCCCAGTGAATTTCTTGTTTTGTCCAAGCAACCCCCAAGAGTTTAAAACCTTCAAAATAATATTCAGTTTACTATCATGTTTGACCAAGAGAAGCAGCCAATTCTCATATTTGAGAACCTGGAACTGTCAAATATCTTGGCATTTTTAGCTTGAAAAATGATTGAATTGATTAATCAATTATCAAAATAGTTGCTGACTAATTTTCTGTCAGTTAACTAATCTATTAATCGACTAGTTGTTGCAGCTCTAGTGTGCACCTTATCCGCTGTAGGTCGACACGATGCTGGGAAATAGTACTTTGAAAAAACAAAAAAACAAATGAATAAAAAATCTTAAATCTGGCTCCACTCACTAGGTTTATCCAGAGTGTGTGAGGAAACGCCATCTGCTGATAAAGTTGGTTGAAAGCTTAGGAAAAAGCTAGTAAGTAGAGCTTGGGCAAAGACCTCCTTTTAGTAGTAGTTTACTTCAAGACAGGAAGGCAGGTTTATTTTTATTACACCTTCAACAATGACCATTTGGTTTAAATTACTGATTCGTTATAATTCTAATACAGCATTTTTATAAAAAAAAGCAACATATTAGACTTTGTTAGGTACAGAACAATAATGTCCTGGATTTATTTCCATTGTTGTTCTCACAGTCCAACAAGCTTTATCAGGATGGAAGCAGCTGCAACAATCCATTAATCGATAAGCTCATTGACTGGAAATGAATCACAATGGCTCACTTTCCGGCTTTTTCTGGAGTTTCAGACTGATGAAGAACGTAAGATGTGGTTGAAAGCTGATAAAAGCCTCAAGGGTGAGGCCAAGCGGGTTAACGTCAGCGCACGTCAAAAACAAGTGCTTAAAGAAAAGATAGAAATGAAACATAAGGAAATGTTAAAAGCATAAGCATAAAAAAAATGAAAAGATACAATTAACGAAATCAGCATCAAAGCATGAGTTTTCTGTGTATTATGAGTACTGCAGATCGATTTATGTTATGATGCATGTGACACAGAGACTGTTATCATCAAAGACTGAGTCAATAATCATTTCATGAGGAAGTTGTTTTAGTTGTACGGTTGCTATGTGACTGAGGATCATAACAGCTGGGTGTAACATAACGGATCTGTAATTGCTGCCTGTGTCTACGTGGATCTATAAATCTGAATCACCACAGATGAATTCATATAAACGGATCATCCAAAGTTATTTAGTTATTTTAGTTTCCTTCACTTTACGTTACTGTTATATAAGAAATTTCTCAGCTCCAGGAGCAGCATGAAGACGACAGCTTGCTTCCTCATCAGTCAGAGGCTTTTTTTCTTTCTTTTTTCTCTGACTTCATATCAGATCACATGGGAGGGACAGAGGATACTGTTCAGATGCTCATTAATTCATCAGCTGAGAGCAGAGTGTCAGGTGTTGCCCCCCCCCCACCCCCGTTAGGTTACACCTCCTAATCATGGAGATGTGCCACGGATGAAAAGAAGCCATCCACATCCACAATGACTGTCTGCTTTCTAAGGAAGGGTCTGCACTGTACAGCAGTGTACACACAGCACGATGTCCACCATGGACTCATTTCAAAATAAAACTGCAGCACAGATCATGAATGTATTTAAGCCAAATTTACAGCTGATCTTGACAATGAAATTAAAGTGATGATCAATTGTGGAAAGTAACTTGCCTATAGAAAACTGTAATACTTTTTTAAATATTCTTAAATATAATCAATTTTAAAGATGTTATACTGTATATGTATACAGTAATTTTCAGTTATTAATTGCCAGAGCCAGAAAACATGAATACTTTAAGTGCAAATGCATGTAACCCATATATTTACTGTTATGAGTGTGCTGGTGTGTGAGTGTGTTTCGGGTACAATGTTGAATTTAGATTTCCATTTGATACAATTTTATACCTCAGAGGGGAATATTGTACTTTTTCACTCCACTACATTTATTTGACAGCAGTTACTTTACAGATCAAGACTTTATTTACAAATATATAAGTACAAAATGAATGAAAATGACTTTAATCATATTTTCTATATGTTTTATGTCACTGCATGTTGTTCTAAATGCTGTTTCAAAGCCTCCACACTGACAGGAGATACCAAATCCCTTTCTTAGATGTTAAATGAAATGAATATTTTTGGCTTAAACACATCCAAACTTAAAGATCAGGTGTCAGATCACACTATGTATAATGTGTGTCCTAAGGTGGTTAAAAATCCCCAGAAAACTCTACAGGGGAAATCAGCTTGTTGTCCCAAATTGTGGCAACTTAATCCTTTTAATGAATGTTACTGTCCCAACATGTTTCTAGGAAACAGTATCTAAAATGTAATGGCACAATGAAGTTGTAAGCCGAGGAGGAACCTTCTCAAACTTGCATTTAATGTATCTTGTATGTTCACTGAAATGTTAATGCCAGCTGCAGATATAACCACTGTTATGTCTATGTGCTGTCAGGTCAGTCCTCCAGTCTCTGTCGGTGCCATGGCTGACCCAAGCTGGTGGAAGCTGACCTTCTCCCGCAAGAAGAAATCTGAATCTAAGGTTCTGTACGAGATCCCAGCCGAGTATGGCAGCAACACCGGCAACAAAGAGCACTCAGGCAATAATCCCCCTCCGGACCATATGGACAGTCAGTTCAATGCCAGACTGGAGAAGATTGTGGATAAATCTGCCACCAAGGGCCGCCACGTCAAGGTCTCCCACTCCGGTCGCTTCAAGGAGAAGAAGAAGGTCCGTGCCACGCTGGCCGAGAACCCAAACCTGTTCGCGGAGCACAACCTCAGTGACGAGAACCATAAAAAGAAAAATGACAAATAGTGACACCCGCTCCTGAAAACACACACCAAAAATGCACATACTTGATCACAAACGTGTCATATGTCAATGTCACACCTATGAAAGCTTCGAAGGAGGCTAAAACACATGCAAACACAACCATGTTCCAGCACATGTGCAGCGTGCAAGGTGGACAAACACACGCTGCACCACACCCAGGCAGATACTGTAACCAATGGACTCACACCTAAACAAACAAGCGGTATCAGCCATTACACTTTCACAGAACAGAGGCTTAAACAAAGTATGAGGCATTTTTCTTTGGATTTATCAAAAGGTTTTACTACTTTTACTGAACATTAAATCTCCCATTAACTTTCTTGTGCTCACATTGTTGTTATATATCTTTAAATATGATCACTGACATGAAGGAAAAGTAAAAAAAAAACAAACTGCCTAACCTCATACATCTTCATCCTCATGATTGAAGTTTTTTTTTATTATTATAGATGTAGAGTTTGAGAATTAAACTTCCTTTTTTAAAAAAAAAAAAAAAAATGTTTTATTCAATCAATACACAAGTGAAGATATGTTTGTGTAGTGTGCAACCAAAGCACAGTAAATTTTTATTACATTTTTATGACCAAAGCAAATAGAGACTTGATTTTAATGACTGTGTGAGACATCGTTGATGCTCCGCAGACAAGGTAAATTAAAAAAATATACTGTTTATATGATCTTTTATGGAATCTTTAAAAAAAAAATTGTATTTTGTTTTTAAATAAATGTATCATGATGTGTTAATATGAAGTGAGTGCTGCGTATTTGTGCAGGAGGCTGCAGGCAGGTGCTCTCAGTGAGTTATCTCACAGTTGTTTGAACATGTAGATCAATGACTTAAGTGACTTAGAGTCTTGATGTTGGTGACGTTGTTTTTTGAGGCGACAGAGACGAGTTTGTTATTTCACCTGAGCCTGTGTTGGCTGATTTCGCTGGCATGGTGACTGTAAGCAGACACTGACATTTGATACCGCATGGTGTGCTCCTGCAGTTTGTAATACCAAATCCCTTATGTCAGTGCACAGACTGACTGCAGATACACTCTAGTTATTCATAGAGAAAAAAAAAAAATAAAAAAAAAACCTCTTTCCAGCTGTTAATGCATGAGAATATTTCCTCTTTTGAGCCTCGCTGTTACTTTGTTTTGTTGATCTTTGATGTCTGCAAGTGTCATACTGCTGACATCTGCTGGCCACACAATGCACTTGGTCTGAGTTACAAATTAAACTTTATTTATTCCACAGTTAATTCAAGTCAAAAAAAACAAACATTTCTTCATCAGTAAACAACAAACAACAATCACACCTTCAGGCCATACAAGACGTACACAAGATAATTGGCACAAAAAACATCATCAGCTCTTTTAATCTCATTATTAAAAGGCAGTTGGATCAATTGTCAAAGACTGTTACAATCACTTTATAGTTAATTTAAGTCAACTGTAAAGGCTACATGAATTATCTGGAAACACCTTACTGTATGGGTCAAATATTCTCCTTTAATATCCAAGAAATTAAATAATATTCATAGGAAGGTTCCTAGAAATGACTAACATTTTGTACAATTTATAGTTGTTCATTTCACCTCCAATTAAGTGCTAATATAACCTTGATAATCCTCTGTAAGAGCTCAGAAAGTCAGATGAACATGTAAAAATGTAGAATACAGTTTCCAAGAATGAAAATACGCTGTGTTTTGGTTTAAATGGATCAAATCTTTTAAAGGAAACTGCTTCTAAACTCTCCATTTACTTATAAATAGTACAAAATTACAAACTCTACTTCTTGTAATCTTTCTTGGAGATTATTAGGAAATTACAAACCTGTAAAATAAAGTGTTGCCAATTATTTCAACACTGAAAATGGACCAACAGTTAACAGTGATGATGGATAACTGAAGAGTCAGTGGTGCAGATTGTGCTTTTAGAAAAATAAGAAAGTTTCCTGGTCCTAAAGGTCGACAACAGCTACTGTTGAATAACCAACATTACGGTCAGTCATTATTTAACAAAACCACGTGGAGTTTGCTCTCCTGTGTCAGTCATTGCACTTTCCGTTCAGCACATTTTCATTTCCTAATGCATGGAAATGTGAAGTTGGCACAGTAAGGTTACATCACACGGCTCTTATCCACTTAGAATGTGACCCGACATAAAGAACGTCACATGGTTTAAGTTCAAGGACGACACAGTGACGTTTGGCTTGTTGATAAATCCTAAACACAGCAGCAGCACCTATTTAATCAGCATCAAATGGTTTCTGTCAGTACCTACTGTACAGATGAGCAATTACTTCAAGTGAGGTAAAGATGGTGATGATAGAGTCAGAATCTAGATGAGGTTTCTGTTCTTCCCTGTATGCGACAGTCTGCTGAGGTACCTCTCATGGAGACAGTCGCTGGTACACCCAGCCTCCCTCTGCGGCGTGCTGGAACTCTCCCAGCTCAGACTCTCCGTCCTTGGGTTTGGTGAAGACGATGCGGTCGTGAAGTCTGTTGGTCTGACCCTGCCAGAACTCCATCATGTAAGGCCTGACCATGTAGCCGCCCCTGTTAGCAAGGCGCAGGACGGTCAGGACATGAACAGAATATGAACAAGACTGGCAATAAAAACTTATATATAACATATTTTGGGAATTATGCTTATTTTACCGTTATCATAGCTTAGCATAAAGACTGGAAACAGAGGACTCTGTCTAATTATAACATAATCTACCTACTAGCACCTGTGAATCTTACGAAGTAACAGGTGATATTTGGTTTAATGTACAAGTCTGGGTGTCACCAGGCCATGGATGACCCTGAAACGTCACCCGCATCAGGGCCGTCCAGGTGACCATGACGAAGGACACAAGCCGGTCTAATTAAGTTTATCTGTTTGTTGCTGGAGTTTTGACCTCTCTCTATACTGTAAAAAGAAGAAACTGTGAGCACAATTTGCCGTTTTAATGTGGTTATGTGCCGCACAATTTCCTGGCCAGGATCAAGAAATGAATAGAAGGGGTGCCAATCTTGTCATCTAACTCTCTATAAGACAAGATAGTCAAACTATAGTTTTAATACTATGAAATCAGGCAAACAAAACGTACCGAAAGCTCCTTCACCTTTCCGATCATTTTAAGATTTTATAGTTCGATTCCACAGAATAGAAAGCGGTGCTCACCAGTAGCCAGGCATAGGCACGTCTGTGTCCTTGTACTTCTCCTCCAGTTCTGCATTTTTCTCCCTGAGATACTGAAAGAAAGGACAAGGTGAAAACTGAGCCTTGAACATTGATGCATTACCTACATAACACAGCAGAGCTTTGGTTCTTACATCTCTGTTGGGAACAGGAGTGCTCTGTCGACTCACAACAGCCCCGATCTGGCTGCTCTTTGGCCGGGAGTGGAAGTATTCACAGGAGGTCTGGTAGGGGATCCGCTCCACATTGCCCTCAATGCGAATCTGGATATAAAAATTAAAATAAGCCGACATTCACAGTGGAAAAAAAAACAAAACAAAAAAAAACATGAAAATATTATTAATAAGACAGAAACTGATAGGAACATGCACGTTCTTGTACCTGTCTGTTTAGGGGCTCCCAGTAGAAGACCAGGCATGCATATGGATTGGTCTCCTGTGGACAAAGATCAGTGGCACTGACATAAAAAAGTAAAAATACCAAATTGTAGAAAAAAGACACTGTATGAGAGTCAGAGAGAAAGAGAGAGTCATTTCTTACCAGCTCTGAACCCTTTCTGCTCTCATAGTTTGTAAAGAAGCGGAAACCGTCGTTGCTGTAGCCTTTCAGGAGAACCATACGAGCAGACGGGCGTCCGTCCCTGAACAGACAGAGATGAGATTGATAGTAAACTGTGAAATACTGTGGAAGAAAATCAGCACTTTTCATTTTAGGTGGTGGCGTTACCTACTTGGTGGCAGTGGCGATGCACATGGCGTTGGCCTCTCCGATTTCAGGGCACTTTGTGGCTTCATCAAACCAGTTTCCAAATTGCTTGATTGGGTCCAGAGACACAAGCTGACTCTCTTCAAAGCACTGTGAACACAAATCACAATCATATATGAATGCAATGGGGAAAAGATGCTATTACTACAACATAAACTTCATGCAGAACTTGAATGACTCACTTAATAACTTACAATTGTATGCAAGTATTTAGTAATCACTCTTCGACAGAGATCACAGTTTCCAAATGCTCTTTGCTGCAGCTAAGAGCCTTTCTACTCTTGATTTAGGGATTATAAACCACTCTTCTTTGCAGCATATTAAAGATCTACCCACAGATTTTTAATAAGGGCCATTCCAAAAGCTTCAGCTTGCGTTTCTTGAGGTGGTTCATGGTGGATTTTGAGATCTGCTTTAGATCATCCTCCCATTGTAGAAGCCAGCCCAATTTCAGTTTCACTTCCTTGACTGACTGCAGGACATTTGCACTATTCCCTGTGCTACAGACCCCCAAAGCAGAATATTTCCACCCCCATGGAAAGCTGGCAAAGTGGTACTGACTCAGTAGGTTGCCCAAACTTTTGTACATGCTACAATTATTCTTTAAATTCATGAAATAAAAACTAACAATGCATTTGCATCTGAAGAAAAGGCTAATTTTTTATGTGTTTCCTGCAGAGGTTGTATTTACTTTTTTTCACCTCAAAGCTCAATAAAAATATGTGATACAACTATATCTGAGGTCTGTATTAGCTTATTTGAATTGTCTGTGCAGGCCAGACATCTGGTGAACATGAAAACACAGATACCTGCTTTCTGCAGCTGTAGCACATACTCTATCCAACCGAGTACATACGTGACCAATGCATGATGCAGGATTTGCTCATGAACCTCTGCCTTACAAGCACAGGTCATCATAACCTTGCAGTTACACAGATTGGATTATTGAACTTGTAAGTAAAATGACTCAGTATGACTGCTCACCTCCTCGTCTCCTTTGTATTTCTTCCTCATGTCACTCAGGTCCATGCTTGTGCTGTCAGTCGTTGATTTCCTGCAGAAATGCGGTGCAAAAACGCTTTGCTGACCCACTGTCAGAGAGACACGGGACGGAAGATTTCTCCCAAATAAAGTAATATACCTGAATAAATTCGTACTGAGTATGCGCCTCATGCTTGTCAATTTGACGCTGACGTAACCCCCCGTCCCCCCTTACGTAAAACATTATGCAAAGAGAGCGGAGAGTTTTGTAACTGGACCATCGATGTATCATAAGACCCTATAATACATCCCTGAATTGGACCAAATGTAGAAAGTAGAAACATGTTCGGACGATTTTAAAATCGTATTTTACACCCGGGCTTTGGATAGAGATAAGAATAATGTTGTGCGTAGAGCAGATATGATTTAAACACAAAATAATCTGAACAGCGATGATAAAGCGATGATTTAAACTACACATCGATGAGCCATGCTGCGTTCATGGCATAATTGTTATTATGAGCTACAAAGTGGGAAAACCCCTTAATTAACCTTAACCTTAACTTCTTGAGCATTAAAAATTCATGACAACTAGAAAATAGAGATTTTTTTTTTTTTTTTTAAGTGCAAACTGCAGTGACTGCCCCTCAGCTAGTTAAGGCTAGCTAGTGAGGTTGCCATTGCTTAAGCTAACTTACACACTTTTTCCAGCTTCCAACAGAAAATCAGCTTTTATGCTCCATCACTGTACACATTTGACATTAGCTAAATCTTAAATCACAATGGAGAGAAGAAAAGAGACACTAATGTTGGCTAAACTAGTCCTGGCTGGTAAATGCTGTCTAACAAAGGTAAAGCTAAAACTAGCTTGGCAGCAATTGCCGCTGACGCCAGTGCAATTAACTTTATTTCATGCAATTAAGCTACCTTTAAATTGCATATTTAAAACTTTTAAAATAAAGATTCGAACACATTTTATTCATATTGCATTTTTCTTGAACTGCTTAAACTGTCCAAACATAGGTTTTATGTAATGTAATAAAGGCATAACATTAAGGGTTTACAACTTATACATTTGTTATATGGTTTGAACTAAGTCTGAGCTAAGTTCAAAACGTCCAAATGTTTGATTGGTACTGTGTCTAAATCTACATACACTGTTACTTGGTTTCTCAATTCATTGCTTAGTGTATACACAAATATGTAACGTAACATAATAAATATGTTTTAGAATAGATTTCCACAGTTATCCGTCCTTTGCCTACGTGACCTGAACGCACCATTTCTACCATCGTCACTTCCTAAATTCTTTAGAAAGTGACGACGCTTTCCTGGCAAAGATGGCGGCGACCTTGTGTGTAAAATTACTACCTAAACAGGGTAATATAGAGTCAACACTGTATTTCTAACTTAAACTTTCTGTCCGGAGCGGGTTGGTGCTTTGCCCCTGTTCTTCTACAGCTAGCTAATGTTAGCTTTGCTTCAGATAAACTGCTGTTCAGGAGTGCTGCTGCTCAGTTAGCCGATGTTAGCACAGTAGCTAGTAAAGAGATGAATTCCCAGATGTTTATCAGACTTTGTGTCTTTCAGGATGGCTTCCCCTGACTCAGAGTGTCCGGCACGGCTCCAAGGCTGTGACTCGCCACAGGAAACCAGTACACATCCTCAGACAGAAGCTCCTGGCTGTCACGAAGTACATTCCTCCTACAAGGGTCGTTCCTCCAGGCGCTTATCCATCCAAACCCAAAGAAGTCCAGGAGGTAACGTCCCATCATATATCACTGATTGATTTCCAGACCAATACGTGGCCAAAAGTGTGTGATAAAAAACATTACACCCATATGTGACTGTTATGTGACCAAAAAACCTTGACCAATCCCGAGCTTTAAAAACCCCCAACAACCCCAGCATTAACATTGATCTTACTGAAAGGACCAGCTTTTGTTTCTTGTTGTTTAACCAGAGGTCGGTAGCCCTGTTGAAATCCATTTCTGTTGTACATCACTGTGTGACAAACTCTTCTTTTATTTCATCAGGATAATGCTTTGATGTTACTCATGAAGAGGGAGGTGAAGAAAGTGTTCCAGGACTATAAGATGATTGCCGCAGCCCAGAACAACGCCAGCAACGCTGAAGATATGATGACTCTCAAGAACAGACTTCACAAACATGGCATCACTGTCAAGTTCTTCCCCAACCAGGTAATGCTTACATTGTTTTATATGTATTCTTGTGACCATTTTTCTAGGCATTATTGATTGTGACCGTGAGATTTTGATGCAAGCAGCCCTTCTGCCTTCCCCTGTTTGTAGCTTGCTCAGATGAAGTTACTTCTGGGTATTTACTTTTTTATTGAGTTAATTTGATAGCTAACAATAGAGGGGACATTAGGGAGAGAGTTGAGGAAAAAACATGCAACAAATGTCCCAGGCAGGGGACTCCTAGGCCACTAGAGAACCTAGTTTTGCATTTTGATTGGGAGTTAAAATCATAAAATCTAGCGTTGTGTAACATTTCCCTCCAACTAATGGACTGGCACCACATGATTTTACCAACTAAGGATCACATAACCTCTGCTGTTAGAAAGGACAGTAACATTGAAGCCGTTGCTGATGTTGATATTTCACACAGTTTAGTTGTAAATGGTTGAAATTAAATCTTTTAGCAAACACCTAACTTGGTCTCACTCCTTCTGTCTCCACAAATAAATTCTGGGCTGTAAAACACCACATCATCTCTGCAGCTACTACATATTAACAAAATAACCAATCAAAATTGATAAGAACGGGACTGAGAGCAACATGCTACCCATCTTTGAACCGCTGTAATCTCATTTTTTTAAACCTAATTTCACCTTTAAGATCATTACGGGTTAAACAAATCTTTAATCATACTCATTTTCAGGTGATGCGGTCATTCCTGAAGGACAGTATTTATTGCAACATGGCTCCTCTGTTCATCGGTCCAACAGTTCTGATTGTCAGTAAAGAGCCAAAGGCGAGGGAGATGCTGGTTGCTCTGAGGTCCAGTCCACAGATGACACTCCTGGGTATGTTTATCTTCTATGTCCAACACAGTTTACCTCCCTTTTGCTTTTTCAGTCCATCCAACTGCCTGAAATGCAAAATGTATTATTTAATATCATAAAAGACAAAGAAAGCAGCAAATCCTCACATTTGAGGAGCTAGAACAAAGTAATAATTTCAGAGTATCTGTGATCATGAACATTTAACTGCAGCACGTCTCCTCTCTCTACAGGAGCCTGCATAGAGAACACACTACTGAGTGCAGACGGGGTAGTGAGCTACTCCAAAATGCCGTCAATGACTGTCGTCCAGGGTCAGCTGGTCAGCGGGCTGACAATGCTCACCTCCTACACTGCCTCCATGCTGCAGCGCCACCCGGCACACCTGTCAGCCCTCCTCCAGCAGTACGTCAAGCAGCAGAGCCCGGACAGCAGCACAGAGGGAGCTCCTAAAGCAGAGGAGGCCACGTAGAGCTTCAGAGGAAGTTACCGGGACTGTTAACCTTGCATATTTGCTGCCGCTTGGAACGACGAGGGATTATAGAGTCAGATGCACACTTAAACATTTATTTTAATTTAGTAGCAAAGTTCCAGGCAGATTTTTTGGGATTGGGGGAAAAAGCCTGCAAAAAGATGTTGAATATTCAGCTGGCACTAAATTCAACTAAATCCTCTAGTGTGCATCTGACCATAGGAACACTGTTCATTCATTATGGTGACTGAAAGATTCTGCAGACTTGACTGGTGTCAGTGCTCCTCAACCTCTTAATGGAAGTCTTGGATGGACAATATTGCAAAAAATGTCATTGTTACTCAAGCTTTTACTTCATTTAAGGGTATTGTCACATAAAAATAAATTATATCAACTCAGTCTATTCATCAGACTCATACATTTTTGTATTCGATACATTTTATAACTGTTCCATCAGTCTCATGTTGGCTACTGCAGGATTGCTGCAAAGATATTCCAATTTATAAGACTTCATTTAGATTTATTTTTGGTTTTTAAATTGTTAAATTAAATGCAGATTCTTTACCTCTGTTTTGCCCAGGTCAGTATACATTAGCAGCTAGAGTGGCTGCATTATCGTACGGCATAAGTGGCATCATGAAAACCAGTTCAGCCAAAATAAACACAAGTGGTCACAGATCCTGATAACGTTAATCTGCAGATTACAGCATGTTAATCTGGGTCAGTTAGTCTATTATGGCCTGCTTTTCTGAGAGAGACAGACATTGCTCAGACGCTCTCCTCAACACCACACTCCTCTGCAAGAGAGGGACTGTCAACACTGTTTGAAAACACATTATGATTCAGAAATTAAAGGTGCATATTTTCACTGTTTTTACACATCAAAATAAAAGTCTGAAGATGCTTTGATTTTTATATTTATCACAAACAAATTACTGGTATAGTGTTAAATACAGGGTATGATGGAAAAATAAGAACCCAAATATTGATGTTTTTTGTAATGTTGACATATATACCTATATATCCCCCTAAAATATGATATGATATGATAAAATACCTTATTTTATAAACTGCAACACCTTCTACTATGATGAAGCTCTAGGTAAACTCACGCCCTTTGCTTTAAGCTTGAAAATGTGTAAACTAAGCGGGTAGAGTGAGTGGAGGTCGGCTAGATTTACCCTCCACTACATCCGTGCTAGACACTCTGTGTAATTCCCGCTAATGCGGATAATGCCCAGGACACATTGCGCACGACGCGCGCTCCCTGCGACGCGCAGCTCTCCTTGGATTTGGAGGGAGTCACCCGCCGGCAGAGAGAGGGCACGGCCGCCGCTGAGCTTATGTGGTCACAATAAGTGATTATCTGTGGAGGAAACATGTAGTTTGAGTTCCCCCTTTTTTTTTTTTTTTAAACTCATCTCCATGGGAAAACGTTTCGTTCGTCGAAATGGTGATTCCCCACAGGTTGTTAAACGCCACATGAGAGTTTTGTTGGATTTATCAGACGCGGAGGACCGCAACAGATGATGAGAGTCGAGGCTGAATTTAAGGTAAGACTTCTTTTCCTGGTTTTTATGCCTTAACTCAGAAAACACGAGATAAAAATGTAATATTTTGTTTTAATTCTGAAGAAAAATACCAAATAAAGTCACCAGAACATCCAGTTTAATTTACATATTTTGTATATTTCTGCAATAATTTACGTTTGGAACGTATTTAAATGTTAAAATACAAGAAAACATTTGGATAGATTTGTGACAACAACAAAAGAACCGGCACTTCTCTGGGTGCTGGAGCAGTGATATGTGCTGGAGCAGTGATATGTTAATGGGCTTTAGATAAGAGCCTAGGTGGCCCTGAATAGTTCAAAGAGGCCCTAAAGGACACGTGTGACATCAACTAAGGAAGTAAAATCAGCCTGGCTGCTCATTAAAGACTGTTGCCACTGAAATACATCAGTGTAGCTGCTTCTTAATTGTGCAGAGTGTGTGTTTCTCTCCCAACAATCACACACATTTACAGGTGTTAAAAGACCATGTGCTCCTCACAAGGGACTGTCATCAAATTATTAACATTTCCTCACATGTGATGCTGGATTACAAACATACTGAGTCACTGTGCTTAGATTTAATAAGCCTCACTTTATCTGTTTAAAATGTTTGTGCTGTAAGCAGAGTGAGGCCGAGATATTTCCCACTCATTCATAAATATTTTGATCTGATCCACATTTTTATGGGCTGCGGTTTTTAGTCCAAAGAAGAAAAAAAAAGAGAGATTATAACTGTTATAATCTCCCCATCTTCTGGCATGATGCAATTTAGTGGCTACTGACTTGTTTTGTTGGCATCCACTTCCATGTAATGAGCTCATGATGTCACTCATCCATCAGTTTGCATATTATCTCCTCTGCTCTGGTTCAGATATGAGGAAAAATGGGGCTTTGTCCAACAATAACTTGTCTGTTTTGGTTGCGCTTGAACAGCCCTTTAAATGCTTTACTGCATTGGATTGTGATTGTTGTACGTTTCCTCAAAGTGCACACCTTCAGCTGTAGTTTGCACTGTAAAATTACAGATTTTCTACAAGACAATGTGGAAAAGTGAGTTCTGACATGGATCTTGTGTTTTTGCGAAAGCTTCAAATCTGAAATCCTTAAAGCCTTAACTTGAGATCAAAACCAATTTTTTTTTTTTGTGCTCCTCCTTGAGTAAGTGAGCTCAGAAACCTGCAAATCCCTTCATCCTGTTTCCACCACATGCTGTCATCACTGAGGTCAGTTACTCTCATCCTCTGCTGGCCTTACATAACAGAGAGCCGGGCTGGTTCTGCCCAGATTTAGACAGATATCAGTTTGAATGTAGAGCACCATTCATTTTACATGTGAGATGGCCTAGATTCTCATTGTTCTAAAGTTTAGATCTTTACACCTGCTGCTTCATCTTCTTATTATTATCACGATTTCATCTACATGTCAAACCACCTTGATGCCACTCCATTAAGTTTCCATTTTCCTGCCTGTCGTCCTGCTGTGACTGTGGCCGGCGTCTCTGCACTGTTTGATGTTGGTGACTCTCCGCTTTGGGATCTTGTTGCTCCAGGTCCGAGTGACAAGTTGCTAAAAACATCCCTTGAAAAACCAATTAAGCAGAGGTTGGTAATCCTCTCCCTGCAGACGGTGCTGGCCATGCTGTCACATAGCCATTATACCAGCATGTGCAAATCATACAGTGGCACGTGTGAGGAAGTTGCACTTCATTTCCAATGGTTTTATGTTGCTCTTTTTATATTTTGTTTTCTTTTTATATCACATTTAGTTTTATTTCTCTATGTTTGAGCATTTCCTGGAATTCATTGTATTTTAATCTATTTGATGCAATTATTATGCTTACAAAGAGCCACTATTAATCAGTAGCATGAAAATGATTATATTCCCTTTTTAAACAGACAACAAAATAACAGGAACCTCATATTGGAGAATAATTCTCTGACATGCTCTAAAAAATGAACATAATCAGCTTCGCATTGACATATTTTTGTTGCAGGGCTGATGTATTGGATTGGAGCATGTTACAGGATGTTCATGTTTTTTGAACAGCCCCCTCCCATCTTCAAAAGATCTGAGATTAACAGATTATTTAGTGACACAGTTTCTAAAAGAATGGCAAGAGACAAAGGCTGTTCCTGTTGGGATGTTAGAAAAGGAAAACTGTGCTCAGATACAACGTTAACAACCTCTTTTCTCTATGCTTTTGCTTTTTCGACACAGATAATGTTTAACTTTAAAGTTTGAGTTGTCCACATATGATAATCTGGAAACAAACATTTTATTTCATTCATTTGGGGATATGTTAAGTGTCTGAGTTTGGCACAAGTTTTGTTTTTCTGCTCAGTGAAATGTGACTTTAAGATCCAGAGTGATCTGGATGAGGATCCAGGTCCAGGATATACTGTACCGTATCCAGGTAGCATTTACGGCATCACAGGCTTGAACCCACGGCTCAGCTCTCACCTCTGTTAGGTAACTGGATTACTCAGAGTCCTATCTCCTCCTCTGCTCTGTGGAGTCTGTTTAACACTTTCACTTTGGTTTGTTATTGGTGGAGCTGTGTTGTGGCATCGTGCAGCTCTTCATAAAGGACGCTATCAGACTTTGTGTGTAAGACATCCAATTAAGAGCTGAATCCCCTGCAAAGTTTAGATAACTACTGGTGCAGTGTATTTTAAAGTTATACTGCAGTAGTGTGTTTATACAAGAACATATCTTAGTTATATATTCCACTTAGGCCATGATGAGCAACAACTTCATCATAAATGACTAAATCTGGCAAATTCCAGCTCCTGAAATGTGATGATTTTTCTGCTTGTCTCTGTTTTTATATAACTGAAAACTGAATATATTTGTTGAGAAAACAATCTCACCACAAGGTCCATTTCATAGCTATTGTGCTTTTATTTTTCCTGACATTTATAGACTAAACGGTTAATCAACGAGTCGCTTAAATAAATGTATTTAACTAATAGATAGATTGACATTGCAGTGAAAGGGTAAAAATAGTCACGACTCAGACGTCCTCACATTTCACTATACGTTCTTGAAAATATATCTTTTCTACACGGCTGCAGGTAACCATTATTTTTTAATTAATCAATTTATCATTTGCATAAAAAATGCTAGAAAAACTTGTAAAAACTCTCGTTATAATTTCCCACAGCTCAGTTCAGACGTCTTGTTTTGTCCGACAAAAAGATTCAGTTTATTATCATGTGAAAAAGAAAAACATTAAACTCTGACATTTGAAAAGTTGGAAACAACAACTGTTTGGCTTTTTTTTGGTTAATAATGACTAAAACAACTGTCGGAACGGTTGCTGATTTGATCGATGAATGGACCAATCCTGTGGCTCTACTTTGCTACTTGATGTGTTTTTTTTTTTTTCTTATTTCTAATCATATTCTCTACTCGTCCTGACATCGCAGGGGTCTTTCGGTGGATTGCAGCGGATCTCTCTCGTCAACCAGCCGATCATACCGGGGTCAAGAGTCTGAGATCTGCTCTGTGAAATGGACTCATACGGCTCTTCACTCAACCGCAGCCAGTCGCTGGCGAGCGGCCTGGAGAAGACTTCGCCCACGTGGAACAAGCCCTCCCACTCTCGCAGCAGCAGCACTCTGTCGTCCCGCCACTCCAGACAGGTGAGTCGCGGGTCGGTCAGCTGATCATACAAGGGGGGTGACAGGTGTATGTACGCTATTGCTCTCCTTACGGTGCTGGTTCTCACATCTCATGCGAAACCATCGTGAGATTTCTCCAGCGCTACAAAAGGAAAAGCTGGTGCAGAAACAGTGAACAGGGTCTTCCTTCCTTTGAGGACACACCCTCACCACAACAAGACCCAGAATAACATCTAACATCAGACGTCTGCTGTAGCTTCAGCTCTTCTGTTTTCACTCTGACTGACTCTGGCTCTTCTTGTTTTGAGATTAGAGAGACAGATGTTTTGGATATTAATGTGAAAGGCAGAAAAGCTGTCGCAATAAAATCAGCACCACATGACGATGATGTTGATTTTACCATTGTGTCTGAATATCTGCAGCCTGTATGTCCTTACAAGACACAACTAATTAATGTAAACCAGGCCCAGAGTGCAGCGTATACAGGTAATGCTGCAACGAACAATTATTTTCATTATTGATTAATCTGTGAATGATTTTATTGATCGATAGGGGGATGTAATGATTCTGAAACAGAGACAGGAACTGTGATACAAATGTCCACCGTCTCGTATCGTGATGCTGGAAGATGGAAGTGCAACATATCAGGAAATTCTGTAAAATTCCCATCGTAGTTTCCCAAAGACGAAGGTGAGGTGATGTCTGCAGATGTCTGGTGTTGTCTGTCCAACACCCACAGATATTCACTTTACTAAAGACAGGGGAAAGAAGAAAATACAAGTTTTCCTTACAAAGCAACTCAAAATGATTGATCGACTAACAAAATAGTTGCTGATTCATTTTCTGTCAATCGATTAATCTTTGCAGATCGTATAAACTATTATAAAGTCTAAAAATAAAAAAGAATACCACTTCACATACCTCACATAATCATATTTTCAGACATTTGCATCTGTAACAAAATTAATATATTACTGATAAAACATGTAATCGTAATTTGCGAAAAAAGTAATGTATTAGCTGATAAAATATATAAAATGATAAAATCTTCTCTTATTTTCTAAGCATTTGGGAGAAGGTTAAAAATTAAACAACCATTTCCATTTTGTAGTCTCGCATCCAGATGCCAAAAATATTAACGTTTTGACGCTATTCACTGACAATTAGTTGATTGATTGATTGTCAGGAAACTAATTGGCAACTATTTCGCTAATCAATTGCTGATTTCACACATTTTTCAGACAAGAAATCTTAATATTTGCTGGTCAAAGCTTCTCAGATGTGATGATTTGCTGCTTTTCCTTGTTGTTTTCCATATCTGATTGTAACTGAATATTTTTGCATTATAGCATCATCATCTTGGGCTTTGGGAAATTATAGCACCATTTTTTAATTTTGGAAATGATGGCACTTTATAGACTAAACAATCAGTCAGTCAAGTGAGAAAACAAGCGTTAAGTTGCAGCCACCATCACAATATGTAGAGTGCAGAAGCGAGTCACACAGCTTTCACAGTCAGTCATGTTTGCTGTTGTGCTTTTGTACAGTTACGTTAAAAGAAGAAAAGAATTAAACAAAAAAAGTCAAAACAAACCTCAAGCGTTTTTCTTGCTGTCCATAGATCATCAAAGATTGGGAAGTGATTGACGACCTCAATGTAGAGATGCAGTCAGGAGGCGACAACCCTCAGGACATGACGACCCCGGGTATCTGTGAAGGATATCTGCTCAAGAGGAGGAAGTGGCCACTTAAAGGCTGGCACAAGGTGAGAAATCCAACCAGTCCGTTATCTTTCATTCCGTGGAGATGTCGACTTTATAAATAAAGTCAGTTTTTGAAATGGTGACATTTGATCTCTTCCGCAGCGATACTTTGTCTTGGAAGCCGGGATCTTGCGCTACTGCAAAAATCAACAAGATGTGAGTGAACTTTGAATTTCCTGACAGGATTTTTTTTTTTTTACCTACTACATTTGAAAACACTTTGAACTTTGAACTCGTGAACTTTTTTTTCCTCTCAAGGTCTCCAGGGGACGAGTCCAGGGCTCCCTTGACGTTAGCCTCGCTGTGATGTCAATAAATAAGAAATCAAACCGCATCGACCTGGATGCAGGAGACATCCTCTATCACATGAAGGTAAAACAGTAGTTATCGAATACACGGTGTCCCCTCAGATGAAGAAGACAAAGGTGCTACATGACTTTTCTTTCCTCACCAAGGCAAAGAGCCATGAGCTCTTCTACATCTGGGTGACCAAGCTACAAGCCCACCGCTTGTTCAAGAAGAACGAGGCAGCGCACGTCCACAGCGGCTTCATCCAGAATCTGTCCCACAGCGCTGCAGCCGGAGAGGCTCAGAGAAATGGCGATTTGGTGACTATCAAAGAAACAATGAAGTCAACAGTCTGTACCGGTGAATCCGAATGAGTCTTAGACAAACTTCTGTGTTCTCTTCTTCTGTGTTCATGTTACCAGAGCTCTGCAGGGGCTCCAGATCCAGCCGGAGCGTCAGGTGTGCTGCCCTCAGCTAACACTGCTGTGAACAGCAAAGTCTCTGCCTGGCTGCAGCAAAGCCACGACCCAGACGCCTGTGTTCAAGGTATCTGTCGTAATATGTCAAAAATATTCGCATATTCGTGTTTTTCTCGTAGCTTTTTCGCTGTCAAATGTGATCGAGACCACACGACAGGAATCTTACCTGACCATCTACTCAGTGAACCGTAATGGAAGATTATACCTCTCATGGTTTCTTGCAGAGTTGAACCGATGTCACTTGGACCTCTCTGAGCTAAACCGCTTAATCCAGAGGCTGCAGGCGCTGGAGGTGGGCCAGGCTTTCACTAACGGAGACCTGCAGCGAATCATCAGCATACAGGTAGACGGCTGGAGGCGTCTGGTGCCGCTGATTTTAACAGCAAGACCAAATAACTTCTAATTTCTAGGCAGCATCACATCCAAACTTAAGTATTTATGGTATTACTCTTTAATATTTTCTTTACAGAATCTGTCACTTGAGAAGCCGAAGAAGCCAAAGTCGGGGAAGATGTGGGGCCACTCTCGCACACTGTCCAGAGTGGAGGCTCTGGGAATGGTAAGAATGATCTGTAACTTAGTCTGATAATATGTAGGCTGAATGCTATGGATAATATCATCTAACATTGATTAGTAGATTCATTTGACATTATTAAATGTTAGCATTTGAAGTTGATTTGAAATACTAATTGGTCTTTGATTACTGGTAATTCTTTTAACATACTGGGTTTAAGTATTTGACATCCCAACCCTTCTGTAACATTTTGGGGCCTTTCTCTAATCCAAAGCCTATTCGTGGGATTACTAAATCGGTGAGTCGCCAATTGACAGAACATGAAACAACCTGATTCATAAGAAAATATTCACTGCTCTCCATTTACACACTGGAAATGAATTATGACTGTATAAATAATGACAGGACAAAAAGTAGTTTTCTTTCAGGTTTAAATGGTAAATGTGTTTTGTTGTAATTGCACTGAATGAAGCCTGTGTGTGTGTGTGTGTGTGTGTGTGTGTGTGTGTGTGTGTGTGTGTGTGTGTGTATATTCCAGTCTGGTGTATTCGTAGTACATGCCCTGTGACTTAAAAACTGTTTAATTCAACGTCCAAAATACCAGAGGATTTTGTTTTCCCCAACAGAGCAGAGCATAGACATGACATGTGTCTGATCTATAGAAAAACTGTTATTGTATAGTGAGTAAATTATTAGATCAATCGTGTAATCCTGTGTTTAGTTTAGATGCTAGATCTGTAGCTCTGATTCCTGTTCTTTGGTTGTCTGTCCCGCCGCTCACAGTATTACATCTCTGAAGGTTTTCTTTCCTACCGAGTAAACGCGTCCTGACTCAAACATGAAACACGGTTAAGAGGCTGGTAGGACAGTAAACCTGCAGGGCCGTGGTGCTCGAGCCATGAAAAGGTAGTCAACCTGATGTTTAACGTCTAAATTAGTCCCTGATGCCTTTACTGTAATTATACTACACTGCGCATACCTGCCTCTCAGCTTTGATTTGGACTTGTCGTAGCAGTAAAAGCGCAGGAGTGACGTTGATAATGGCTCTGTTCCATTCTGGTTAGAGTTAGGGTTAATTCAATTTAATTCAATTTAATTTCTTTAATCCCGGAGTAAGTAAGTCAACACAATGCAAACAACAATAAAACAATTAAACTTTCACATGGGTTTCAATGAGCACATGATAAAGGTATGATCAAATTAGTGACACCTGTGTTTAAAAAAAATCATATCTTTAATGTGAACCTAAAGAGAGGTTACATTTATTGTCAATACAGAGTGTGCTGTGCTTTGTATTAAAGTAATGGTTTGACATTTTGGAAAATATTCTTATTCACTTTAATGCCAAGAGCTACATGAGAAGATTAACACCAGTCTAAAATATAAGTAGCATGATTATAAGCTTTAGCTTAGCTTAGCACAAAGACTGGAAACGGGGGGAAACAGCTAGTCTGATTCTGTCCAAAGGAAACAAAATCTGCCTAGCAACACCTCTAAAGCTCTATTATTAGCATGTTATAACCACGGTGCATTTTGGTCTATATTTGTTTACATTTTGAAAATCAAGTTCGCCCAATTCACTACTATCAGTTCCTGAGTGCTGTGTTTGAATGGATTTACAGGCAACCATCACTGGGTTACTCTGATATTGAAGAAAAGTAGAAAACGTGATAATTCTCAGGCAGGTTCTGCAGTTATACGGAGCAGCGGGAGTGGGTTTATGGACGGATAAACAAGGAGATTGTCAAATGCACTAATGAATCGATCATTTCCCGTCCTCCTCTGTTCACCTCGCAGCTGTCCTCCAGTCACCTGAACAGCTCCTCTCACCTTGGTGCGTCCGTCCCCTCTATCCCCGACTACGTCTACTCTCAGCTGTCCCCTCCTACTGTCACATCTCCGGAGGGCAAGAAAATCCAGCAGGACATCTGCGCCATGTCGCTACGAGGTCAGTGAAACAAATACAATGCGTATATACTCGTGGGATCAAGGCTAAGGACAATACAAAGAAAAATATTGTTATATACGTCTATATTTAAAGATGTGTGCAAACTGTAAATGAATGAGTCCTCTTTGTCTTCTTATTCGCCTTCAGTGCTTGCATCCCTGAAGACGGTTCATGAGACTCTGTCCCAGGAGAGGCAGAAACTGCAAGAAGTCTGGGAATCTAACAACATCCACCAGTCTAACACATTAGCTGTGGTAAGATTCATGCTGTTTCTGTGATGTGGAGTCTCCGGCACCTCTCCCCATGTGGTTTTTTTGATGGCTGGTTTTGTCTTTGTTCCTCCCTCGTTAGCCCGCAGCAGGGAGGCATTCATCCAATGGGCCTCCTTCAGTGGCAGATTCAGCGGCGGAGTATTTCGACGCCAGCGACGACATCCTTTGTGGTAGTTCCTCCGAGGTGTCTGAAGAATCAGGACTTAGTGATGGAAGCACCACCAACTCGGAGCCGGAGGAAGGACACGGTGGGTGCATGTACACCAGTACATTCATCCATGCAAATGACACTTTTGCTCTTAAGAATTAATGTCAGTCTCAGTTCTGAATAATTAATATGATTTCCTTTCATCTACATTACAGCATCAGCCACACGCAAGTACCGTGCGAGCATTTCCAAGACTCCTAACAGTGTCGTTCCCAAGAGCACCGGGCGTCGCACACTTCCTGCTCACTGTCCTGACAACGGCCACGTGGGCCTCATGGCTATCCTCTACAACAACATAGGCAAGGACCTGGACTTAAAAACCTGTATTGATAAAGTCCCATCACTCTGTATCTTTTGTTCTGAGGCTCACATGCTCGTTTTCCTTCCTCAGGTAAAGACTTGGCTCGAGTGTCCATGCCTGCTGCCCTCAACGAGCCTGTTAACCTGCTGCAGCGGCTGTGTGAGGAGCTGGAGTACAGCGAGCTGCTGGACACCGCCAACAACACGCCCGACCCCTACCAGAGGATGGTGAGGCTGCCCAAACATACACTGCTTTTGTAGTATAAGACAGATAGGAAACAACGTCAACGCTGTCAGATTTGGTTGCTGTGGAAGATGCTGTTAAAGACCTGATAAATCTGCATATTCACCTGCTGGATGTTAATAATGTAGCCTATAGAGACAGTTATTATTACATGGTGATTATAACACAGGAATATTATAGTGCAGCTGTCTTTATTCTCATTAAACTGAGAAAGTAGGGCAAGAATGGGAGGCTGCAAAAATTTTGTTTGTTTAAAATCAATTTATTTTGAACATAGAATTGTCTATTAACAGGCAGTTATATGAGCAACCAGGTGACCCTGTCATATATTTTAATAGATAGGGAAATTGTTATGTTACAGCAGCTCTGTAGAAAATAAACAAATAAAAAAAAATCAAATAAAATAGCTCAATATACAAACACAACAAATAAGAAAATTGAAAAAATAAAATGAAATAGCTCTACATACCTAGTAGCAATAATGAATACTACTAAAAACAAAATAAAACAATATCTCAGCATACAGTACATGGTGTGCAGAGATGTGCAGACAGTGGAGTTTAGTTTTAATAAACTATAAGGACAGATATTAGTTTGTAGTTGGTTTCATTTATTTTCCTTTCGGAAATTCCTTTTGTGTCTGTGGCACTTTTCAGACAAATACAACAGCAGCAAAAGACATTACAGCTAAAGACAGACATCAAACAGCATTATTATCATACGGAACAACCAACAACAACATGGAGTTAGAACGCCAGGCGCAGGTGACAAAATGAGATTATCACACATAAGCTCAGGCGCCTGAGGATAAGAGAGAAGTGTGTGTACAAAGCAAACTGAGCTACGAGATCCACACCGGTCAGACCAGAACCTTTTTATTTTTCCATCAAAAAAATGAACTTGATCTTTGGATGATTTTGTGTTTTATCTTTTGCAGGTTTACATTGCCGCCTTCGCTATCTCTGGTTACTCCACTGCTATGTTCAGGAACCGCTACAAGCCCTTCAACCCGGTGCTGGGGGAGACCTACGAGTGCATCAGAGAGGACCGGGGCTTCCGCCTCATCAGTGAGCAGGTAGAGCAAGAAACAACTTCACCAACACAACAGGCCACAGAGTACCATTAAACTGATCTCTAAAAATTAGGGAAAAGATGATGGGAATTAGCTGCCACACCCCCCTGTGGTAAATTAAGATGAATCACTCACCGGTTTAATTGAGCCGCTCAGATCTGTGGAGTGATTTATTGCTTTAATAACACTCTGTTAACTAATCATGTCATCAAAAATTAACACAAATGCTTCAGTCATTTATTTAGAAGTGATAGCAATTAAGTGAAAATAATTAAACGTCAGTCTTCAGCAAAGCAGTTAATTTCTTGAACATTAGCTTAGCGATGTAGTTCCTGAGCGACGTATGAGTTCTGGTTGGCAACGTTGTATACGCAAAGATAATATATATATATACAGTAAATATAATATATTTGTAGGGCACTTTTCAAAACTCAGGTTACAAAGCGACACAAGGGGCACCAAATTAAATATACAATAAAGATACAGTCTGCTTCAACAGGGCAGAACAGTAAAACTGGATAAAAAGATAAAAGAAATTATAAATTGTAAATGAAATAAATAAAGTAAAAACTCAATTAAAAAAATAAGGATATGCTCTTTAATAAAAGTATATTTTAAGAAGGAATTTAACAGATCTGTTAAATCTGACAGATCAGTCTGATTTGAATCATTTAAATAACAGTTATTCATTCACAGTGTGTTTCTTTGGTTTTCTTTTACAGCAGCTTCTAATGCTGTAGCAGAGTTGCGATATACCAGTACTGACCATAACTGTGATATATAGAAAATGAAATATTGACATTGTGTTAATAATACACATATGATGATATGGTAATGGCAGATGTTAAGCCTTGTGGATCTTTTGTTTATCAGTTCATCTTGTTGACTTTTCACATTACTGTTACACAACAGAAAGAACAATTACACTTAATGGACTCTCTCCACTTCCCTACACTCGTATTTGAGTCTGATTTATTTGCTAAAAAAAGAGAGAAAACGCACAATAAACAAAGTTAAAGATGAATTTGACCGAATTATCATCCTTATTTATTTATTTATTTATTTATTTTTGTGATCAATTTTTTTATTATTCTTTTGTGACAGGCAGATATACTGTATACCTACCTCAAAACATAACACAACAGAGACAAAATAATACAGAAATAAAAACATATATAAACACAAAAAGCCCTGTGGTGACCCCCCTCACCCCCCCACCTGCCACCGCCGTTTTTTAGGTCTCCATTTATATTTAATATGTGCAGGATAGCAGGATCCAAAATTGAGCAGAGAATAGAAATGGTGATTACCGCAGTTCCTTCATTTTATCTGCCATCGTTTGCCATGCTGCAGTAGTCCCAGCTCCAGCATCATGCAGCTCCATATTAATAATATCAATATATGTGTTAATCCATTGCGTTTTTGTGACCCTGTGTGGGGGTTTCCAACGTAAAGCTAGGATCTTTTCAGCAGCAGTGATGCCCGTCAGGAGAAAAACGTCTCTTCGTACACGTTAATTTTAATGAGGCGGTGTCATTCGACGTATCACAGAGAGAGGCAGAAAGGTAGTGTGGAAATTTATTTAAGCTGCATTTCTCTTTATCTGTACCAGGTCTGCCACCATCCGCCCATCTCCGCCTGCCACGCAGACTCAGACAACTTCTCTTTTTGGCAAGGTGAGACTCTTCAGTGAGCTTTCACTATCAAACCAACATCTGTCCAATCAATCCAAGTGTTTTGTGTCCTCTGATTTTAAAACAAGGCTGCCTTTGGATGTGCATTTGTGAAATATCATCATGAAATACTTGTTTATCTTCCTCACCAGACCAGCGATGGAAAAACAAATTCTGGGGGAAGTCTCTGGAGATTCTGCCAACAGGAATGGTGAATGTGACTCTGCCAAGGTAAACAGCCTGAATTTCTTTTCACCAGGCGCAGTCTGTGTTTGCAAATTTATCGCAGTGTCTGTGTTAGATGAGGCGCGACACTGGCCATTACGTGTAACTGAGAATCATACTTTATGTGAAATGATAAAGGATCCATCAGAGATCAGTTGGGAGCAATGAGACATGACGTACTTTGTATGAATATCACCATTATCGCCATCATTCAGTCTCAGGAACCACAGACAAGACAAACTTTCAACCATCTGTCCAGATGTTGCTCGCGCTTCTGCATTTGACCGATTATACATAATGATGTGATGTAATAACTAACGCATAATGAAGTGTTTTTTTTCATGTCTGTGTGGAAGAAAATTCCTAAAAAAAAATTAAAAAAAACGTGTTGATAGTAGAGTAATTCTGAATTTTAGTTTTTAGTTTTTTATTTTTTAAATTTTTCCTTGATTTGACAGTAGGTGTGGAGAGAGACGCAGGATCTTGGAGGAGAGAGAGACAGGGGTATGACAAACAAATGTCGCCCAGCAGAAACAGAAGGGACATTGTGGCTAAATGGCATGCACCTTAACCATTAGACATCTGGGTGCCCAACTAGTGTTTGTTTTCATCATGGATTTGTCTGTTGATTACTGTTTTCAGGTAACAGATGTCGTAGAACGGAGACAAATGTTCACAGTTCCTTAAAATCCATGTTAATGTCTGAATTAATCTTTTTTTTTTGTCCGACCAGCAGCTAAAAATCCCCAAAATATTCAGTTTACAATGATATAAAACACAGAAAAGCCCCAAATCCTCACCTCCTGAGAAGCTGGAACCAGAGCGTTTGCCGTTTTTTGCTTAATGAACGACTTCAAAAGAGTCGTCGATCTGTTTTGTCGGTTGCTGAACTGTTTCACTGCTAACTACATTTGCCAAATTTGTCCAGGTACGGCGACCACTACGAGTGGAACAAAGTAGTGACCTGCATCCACAATGTGCTCAGTCAGCAGCGCTATCTGGAGCATTACGGCGAGGTCACCATCCGAAACCTCAAAAGCAACGTCTGCACCTGCAAGATTACCTTCGTCAAGGTGAATGAAACATTTAGATGCTGCGTCTCTTTTCTAAGTCGGTTTTTTGTAGGTGACTTTTTTTTTTTTTTTTTTGTCAGTTTTTCCAAAAAAATAAAAAATAAAAACTTTTCTTTTGTTGTAGTCTCGTTACTGGGGCTCAGACACAAACAAGAACGAGGTGCAGGGCACGGTGCTGGACCAAAGCGGGAGTGTGATTCACCGGTTTGGAGGCCTGTGGCATGAAGGCATCTTCTGTGACACTCTGCCGACTCCGAAATGTGTCTGGAAGCCAAGTGAGTCCATGAACGTCCAAAACAAGACTTAAGACTGTTTACTCAAGTGTTTTTCAACCTTAAATGCTATCATTCACAATTTGTGTCCTTCTTCCCGATGATGTAATTTTGTGTTTTGAGTCTTCTGTGTCACGTTGATGTAATTAGCTCTAAAGCAGAGACTGCTTTAGAGGTTTAAATGGCAGTGAAGTGAGACGATCAAGCAACCCCTGCTGCCAAAACCTCTAATCAGCATAAATCCAAGCGTCACGTTTGTGCAGCAGCTCACTTGAGTGTCACTTGTGTCACCCCGCAGATCCACAGCCAAAGGATTACCTGATCTACTATGGCTTCTCCACCTTTGCCATGGAGCTGAATGAAGTCACCCCAGACCTGAAGCCTCTCCTGCCTCCTACAGACAGCCGCCTGCGCCCGGACCAAAGGTGAGCAGAGCTGGGAGAAATCTTCAAAGTCTGGAAAAGTAAAATATTAAGGCTGATGTCACTTCTTTTTTTTTTTTTTTTTTTTTTTTTTTTTCTAGATTGCTGGAGGAGGGAAAGGTGGAAGAAGCAGACATAAAGAAAGACGAGATAGAGGAGTTTCAGAGGGAGCGGAGGAAAGAGCTCGGCAAAAAGGGTGAAGAGCATGCCCCACGTTTTTTCAAGTAAGTTTCTGTTCTCAGGTTTTCTCACTGTTTGCAAAAACGATTCATAGAAATTTGGGGTAAAGTTTTTGAACGATTGTTTTCCTTTTTCTCCTGAAGGAAAGCCAAAGACTCCTGTGGACGGGACGTGTGGTTGACCAACGGGACCTACTGGAAGCTCAGGGAGAATCCAGGTTTTGCTAAGATTGAAAACGTAACTCTGTGGTGATGGAGACGGCAGCGATGAGCAGGAACAGACAAAAAAAAAAAAAAAAAAAAAAAAAAAAAAAGCACATGAGTCGAGAGACTGAAAAATATCAGTGCTGGATATTTTGAGCAGCATATATGAACCGCTCTGAGGAAGGTGCAGAGAGGAGATGGTGCTGCTGAGCTCTTCTTACGTCTCCTGTACACCCATGACTGGCTCATGGGAACCGTCAGCACCTGATATAGTCTCAGAGAGTCACCTGTCGGGTTACCTGGAGTTTTTAGATGACATCACTCAACTTATATATCTTTATACTTGTGAGAATTTCACTGTTTTTTTTTTTTTTTTGTTTGTTTTTGTTTTTTTTGCTGAAAAGACTGTGACGCAGCAACAAATGACTTGAAATAAAAAGTTGTCAAAATTATATTTTTCTGTCAGGTTAGAAAGAGGCCTGTTATATTAGTGTACTGTCTGTAAACATTCAGTCCTCCTCTCAACCAGCTGACAGCTCAGTTTATAATAACTACAGTTGTTGGACTGTATAAATGTACTGAAGTCGCTGCTACAGTCAGACCCCAGACCCACGAGGGGGTCAGCAGGTTTGTGATAATTTGATTTAATGCAGATTTATACGGGAATATGCACCAATAAAGCCCGATAAAGACAAGAACCTCAAAGTGGCTATAAGGGATATTTTTAAAGATCCCAATCTGTCAAACGACAGTGTCAGCTGTTTAATAAAAAAGAAGAGAGAAACAAACAATGAAACAATTATTGATTACATGTTTATTGGAAGGATAAACCCTTTGAGATGAACCAAGGGGGTCCTCAACACAAAACGCAATACACAAAGCACAATAGCACAATTACATTCACATACACACAAGCTCTCCCGGGTCCAACCCCTCCCACACCTGATGACCCCTCCCCGTCTTTCCAGGAAAAATAAATAAATGAATAAATAAATGAACAAATAAATAAATGTATACATACGCACACATCCATAGACTTGATTAACAAAATAGAGAGACCAAAAACAGCTAAGAGTATAGAATATTATAAATATGAATAAGCAGCTGTTTACTAACAAGTTCACCAAATAAACTTAAAAGGTGATAATATGTCAATGTTTTTTTCCACACACAAAAAAAATCAGTTATCGCAGGTTTAAGGCAGATGCTGCAGTATTACCCATCTAGTCTGTGCATGGTGGATACACCTAAATAAATTTGTGTTTGTATTCAACCAAATTATTACAAATAGGGGGTGGGTGGGGGGTGGGGGTGGGGGCGCGAGGACTGATGTATTGCACATGAATTACTCCAACTTGGTGTCTGTGGCTTCCGCATGACTAACAAGCGAGTATGATGTTGAAGATGATCGCCGTCGTCATCAGCGACCTAAAGGAGGATAACATTTAAGACAGTATCTGTCTAAATACTTTGGTCATTGCAAACATAGATCGACTGTTTTAATTTTTTTAATTTGTTTCTTTTTGAACATGTAACTATTTAAAAATAACAATTACTGCTAAACACTCATTAATCATTTAAAAGAAGAAGAAATATATTATATTGTATTTTTATGTCATTAATAGTGAAAAGAATATCCAGCTGGTTGGAAACATGTAAATACTGTATTTATACAGTACATTAAACTGTCAACATCACAACTGTGTTTTTATTTTTGAGTGGAAGTTAATTTATTATACATGCACATGAAAAATGAACATACCTTCCTACATAAAACACATCAAAACAGTCGAGATTCGTCATGTGTAAGCTTTAATTTCATGAATAAAAAAACAACAGTACATTACACAATTAAGCCACCTTTAATAAATAACAGTTTCCCCCTCAGAACTCTTCATCTCTTATTTGTTTCTGAATTTATAAGCTCTCAATGAAAGAGTCAAAGGAGGATTATTGCTCCCTTGACAAAGACAGTGCACATGGATCACACACACACACACAAAAAAAAAAAAAATAACATGCTTGTTGCTCTGCCTTGCCCGCTCTCCCTTCTTCACTCCTCCTATTTCTATACTATACAGTAACATCTCTGAAAAGACAGCTCCCACGCACAGTCTTCGTCTCCTGCCAACAGAGATGTGTGTTCAAGGGAAACACGGACTCATGGGAAATGGAGGTAACAGCAGGGGTTTGTGGTTCATTGGCTGAAGTTGATTGTGATAGCTGAGATATCCAGCAGGGGTCGTTCCTGAGGCGTGTGAAAGCTTTTTTCTCTGCTGCTGTTTGATGTGAGATCTTGCACTGGTGTAGGTGCAGGGTCACTGAGAGTACCACGCAACAAACCACAGCACATAGAATAAATAACTGACATTGTCCACAGGCCAGGCCAAGTTTTGTTTTTTTTAAAATGTCATCTTCAATTCTAAACTAATTTTCTTTCTATTAATTGCACTTGAAACAAGAATTGTCCATTGTACACCTTCCTTAAGGTACATTAAGAATCATCATCATCTTTCTGTGACAGATGTCAACATAAACATTAAATGGTACAACTTTTGGAAATGTTACACAAGCAACACACGTCATACATCATATTTTTTCATCATACAATATATCCATTCTCTTTTCAGCATAAAATCACTTCATTATCATTTAACTTCATTATTTAAATGCTCATTTAAAGGACTGAACTGTCACACAGTTTGTCCTTTTTGCATCAACATCGCTGTTAAGACCAAGTGCTGCAGAAGACAGATTTTTATATCTATCTTATATCTTGTAATTATCTTTAACTTCCAGTAGATCCAGTGTAAGTGTTTTATACAACACTTGTATTAAATCAACTCAGCTCAGGAAAGAGCTAAAAGTCTTTAACTGAGAGTGTTGACATGTGAAATAAGGCAAACAGTAGCCAGGATTTTAGAAATATATAGAAATAAATCCCCCATAAAACAACCCTACATCCTTTTGGAAAAGTGACCAGACACCAAAAACAAAAGGTAAAATTGTCTAATTCATATTTTATAAATTCAGCTCCCAACCTAAAGGTTCAAATGCTGGTTCAAATACCTCTCTGCTCTGCCAGGATGGGAACTCCTCAATTAGTTCAGTTTTTGCTGGTTTAAATCTAATCAAATTCAAATATGTTGAGTCTTAAAATACCGGAATTAGCCTGTAAAATACCCACAAAATAATTGACTGAAATAAAGCCAGATGACACAACTTCAGTGTCCTCAATGGCAGCTAAAGCAGTTAGCTATATTTCCACATTTATGTACAAAATGCATGGTGGCATGTGCTTCGATCATTCGATCAAGTTTTTTTTTTTACTGTTTTTCTACTAATGTGAAGAAATTGTTTAACATTTTGGAAAATATGCTTATTGACTGATAACACTCATGTCTGTATGGAAAAGATGAAGCTACAGTAAGAGTTAGCTTAGCCTAGGTTAGCATAAAGACAGGAAACACCAGCCTACACTAGAAACACCTTTAAAGCTCACTGATTGAAATTATATCTTGTTTGTTTAATTTAAGGAAAACTGACAATTTATGTTTTTATGAAGGGTTCTGTGCCAGATTATTTCTTGGTGAATGAGCTAGGCTAACTGTTTCCCCCTGTTTCCAGGCTTTATACTAAGCTAAGCTAAGCTAAGCAGCTTCTGGCTCTAGCTCCATTTTTAGTGTATCAATCAGCGAGACAGAAGCAAATATTAATTAATTAATTAATAGAAATATTTCCTTAAGCAGAATCTAAATGATTTTTTTTTTTGCCTGGTTGTTCTCCTATCTTAGAAATCAGAGCATAGTAAATATACAACAGTATATACAGCATAGACTGTTTTCATCAGCTCATAAAAAAAGGAAGTAATTTCATCTCTCCTAGTAAAAAGACTTCAGTAACCCTGCTCCATCTTGTCTGACTGAGCGCCTGTCTGTCGCCCCCAGTGTTGTCTGAGGCCATTAGCACACCTGGTGAGGAATGAGGAGCAGATCTCTGATCAGCACCGACTGCAGCCTCACTCTTCATTTCTGTCACCAGGCCGGGAGCCGGGCCCCTCTGTCAACCAGTGTCACCACATGATAGGTCAGCGGACTGGTGGTGGTAGCGGTGGTGGTAGCGGTGGTGGTGGTGGTGGTGGGGGGGGGATTCAGAGTGTCTGTCTGGTCACTTTGTGCTTCCTGTTCATGGTGGTCTGAGGGTGACAGTGCCTTGTCTGTTTACCTGCAGGTTTATGTGGCTGTACTGAATGACCCACTTTTAGCACTGATGCTCTGCTCCTGTAAGGGAACTGTATGGGGAACAGATACAGGATTAGGGAGTCTCATTAGTCCTACTACTTTGTTTTTCCATGAACCTCAAAATGGATAATTTTTTTTATAAATTTATAGATGATATTGTTATATTACTGTACTGTGGACCACGTTTTGTTCATGTACACTGGTGGAGATTGTGTTTGTGTTTAAAGCTGTCACACTTCCCTCTGCCAATACTGTTTTCCAGTTACGCCGTTATCAATGCTCTTATTGATCCCGGGCTTTATTACATGGTGTGGTGACAGAAGCGTTTTCAAATCGACCGATTGTAGGAGAGGGCTGAGCCTTTGCTATAATGAGGCTTTTTTCACTCTATCAATGCAGGAAGTGTGGAGCTGGCCTTGTTTTTTATGAGGGGTAGCAAGCGGCTCAACCTTACTGCATCTGTTCATCCATGTCTTTAAATGACCTTAAAGCTGATGCACAAGGAGAAGTTGAGCTACGCCTCAAAATAGAAGCATTTTCACACACGTCACACATCTGTGGTGTTTTTTCACCATTAGTTCACATCAAAATTTGTAATTTTGTGCTGTAGATGTGCCTACTCTACATCTGTTAAACCCTGGATAAGACGCTGAATGAAGCCCAGAAAAGGGGCAACCCCAGACCAAAACCAGTCACAGCAGGTCAAAGGTCATCAACCAGGAGTCAGTTTACTGATGCCAGAAACCATCTTTGAACACTTGTGACTGAAGTTCCACATTTCAGTCACCTGATAAATCTCTATTACAACTAGGCAATTCCATTCAATGAAGAAGGCCATGAGATGCGCCTGAAAACTTTGGAAACAACTGAGTTGGATCTTGTGTTGAGAATTTTTCTTATTGAGCAATTTAAGATTATTTTCATAATCAATTAATCTGCTAATTTAATCTTCTGCTTTTGTCTATAAAATGTCAGAATATAGAGAAAGTTGTTATAATTATAATCAATAGCCTATAATTTATAATGGCCCAAGGTGATGTCTTCAAATGTCTCTTTTTGTTTGACCAACCGCACAAAACCCAAAGATGCTCAGTTTACTATCATGTAAAGCAAAGAAAAGTAGCAAATCCTCACATGTGAGAGGCTAGAATCAACTTAAAAATGATCAAAACAATTATTTGATTCTCAAAATAGATCGATAATCAATTATCTAATTGATTAAACGAAAAAAAAACCCTCTTTAAACATCTGTTGGTGAGGTTTGGCTCAATCATGAATCGATCATGAGCAACTGAAACCTTTTGATTTTATCATATTAACCAGTGTTTGGATTTAATCACATGACACTGCAACCAGACACTTATTTGATGACTTTGCTTTTCCCTGCAAACAGCTCAGACAGGCAGTGTGTTGCTGTAAATGTAAACTATAATCCCACATCAGTGATTCATAGAAACCGTGATTGCCTCCAGTTGTACCTTTCTGCAAGTGTTTGCTGATTTACTTAACAGCACCACACACACACACACACACACACACACACACACACACACACACACACACACACACACACACACACACACAGAAATACACACAAAAAGATTGTCCTCGCAGGGTTGAGGCAGATTAGCGGCCTTACTTCAGAGCATGTGCTTGCTAAGCTCTCTTAACCCCCCCTGACATGAGTTTCACGCAGACACTCTGCACGGAGCCGCCACTAGTGGGAGCTGCGGTAAACGACTTGGGTCGGATTAGGGGAGGAGGCTGCAGCGAGTTAAATGTTAATTCTGCTTCACATTGATCGGGGGGGGGAAATGAACGTGATCATATTTAGAGTAGGTGTGAATTGCTGAGTGTGAGAAGGAAGAGACAGGCGGAGACAAGACAGAGCAAAGGAGACGGAGAGAGTGTTTGATGCATAAAGAACAGACAATCCCTGCAGGCGTCTGTCAGCAAGCAGATATGCAGATGTTTTTTTTGTTGTTGTTTTTTTTTCTCCAGATGTTTCAAAGGCTTAAGTCACAGGTCTGTATGTCTGTTTGGTGTTTATGTGACTCTAGGGCAGTGTACCAGTCACATCCACTCCTGTTCAACACTGAGTTTGACAGTAACCTTGGAAGTTCCTCCTGTAATCATTTGACACTTTGAAAAGGGAACTTTATCGAGAGGCTGGCCACACTGTGTGGACTCTGGTGATGTGGCAGTAGATGAGGTTGCATGTTCTGTTGCGCGGTTCTGCTATTTATCTTCAGCACCTGAACCTGACTGGACAGACCGACGCGTGTCCATGAGGGCGGTGTGGGAGAGGATGCTGGGAGAGACTGTGGCGACCATGGTGACGCGTGAGGTCTTCAGTGGGTGTAGTAGCCATAGTAGTCTGCATTGCTGTTGCTGTCCTTCTCGCAGACGTCTCCACTTCGCGGAGGTGGGGAGTTTTCAGTGCTGGACGTGTAGGGCGACACTCTCCTCTTCTTGTTGTCACCGACGCTGCCCTCAAACAGGCCTGAGTCTGCAGAGTCTGCTGATTTCACAGCCGGAGTTTCGAGCCAGGGGTCCTCTCCCACCACTCCCACACTGTCTTTGGGCTTGTCCTGCAGCAGGGGCGGCTGCAGAGGCTCGAGGAGCGAGGGAGGGTGCAGCCTGGGGTTGCCAGGTGACGTGGAAGAAGATGAGGAGGAGGAAGAAGATGATATGGGTCTGAACCAGCCCAGACTTGGGCCGGGTTTACTGGGGTGACTAAGGTACTGAGGGGTGGGCCGGCTGGTGCTCCAGCCCGCTGAGGTGGCTCCTGATACAGACACGCTAGTAGATGCAAAAGGATGGTCTGGGTAGTAGCTGAGAGCATGGTGAGCGGATGTCTGCAAGGGGAAGGGCTTGTAGAAGCCATTTCCAGAGAAGTCCCCCTCATAGGAGGAAGTGAAGTCAAGCCGGTTGGGGGCCACACCCTGCTGAGGCGACAGGTACCAGCGGCTGTGAGGGCTGGAGCTGGAGGTCGGGTCTTTGTGCTGCTGGCCCATGCCAATAGGCTCACGGCTGTAGAAGCGGCTCTGGGGCAGGGGGCTCATGTACTGCTCAGAGAGGTAGCCTTGAGGGTAGCAGCTCCCTGGCAGCAGCTGCTGGCTCTCTGTGGGGGAGGGTGTGAGGCGATCAGAGTCGGGAGGAGCGTACAGCCTAGGTAGGAGGAGGGGAAGAGAAGAGAGTGTGAGAAGAAAAGGAAAAAAAGAAGGTGTTATTTCCTGCCCAAACCTCAAACTATCTATCAAACATCTCACAGCCCCTCACACCCTGTCATTGCAGCATACTTGAGCACAGCTGTAATTGCATCTACTCTAATATTACAGGGGTGATGTGAGCATTCAGGGTATTTAACTACCAGCCTCACTATTTATGGTGAACAGTTTTAAGGTTTACATAAAGATATCTTCTCTGAAAGGAGAGTTCTCTCTTTAGAAACAGTTTTTTTTTAATTACTTACGTGTCATAATTGTCACGGAAACCTTTAGCGAAGGGGTTATGGTCTATTTTCAGCTGAGTGATCTGTGTAGGGAATAGGAGGAGGGCAATGAGAGAATGTAGGCATAGGAAAAAGAGAAGGAGTGAGCAACTACACACAAACAACAAGAGAGCAGAAAAAGAGGAGGTCGCTGACTAATAATTAATGAGGACAACATGCATTTTTTTTCTTGTTGTTGGAGGAAGGAGTGGGCACACCACACATACACATGTAGTGATGCAATAAACACCAAAGACAACAGGGTGAGTGTGTCTTTCCTTGGCGCACAGTGGCTCTCACACAATGTATCTGAACAGCTGTTAAAGATATATAGCACATACTAGGGGGCGGGGGCAGAGCTACAGTACTCAGGTCAGCTGAGGTGACTCTCAGTTGAACCTAGCCACTGTGTGGTAATAGTACATGCTAACACTTACAGCAGGTTATAGTAATGTTAATTAGTGTTGTGCATTTTTGATGCATGCATGCATAAACCAGAGCTTCTATCTGAAACACTCTCTGACATAAATCATTGAACTTTGACTCTTATGTAGATGTTTTGACAGAAGGTATAAAAGGCGTTGCTATGGTTATATAACAATTGTCCAAAATGACAAGTCAAATGAGAAAACTGGGCTGATCTTGACCATACTTTCTTGTGATTGAGGCGACTTACATCTGCGTTCTGATAGGCGGTGACGGCGATGAACTGAGTCTCCGGGAAGACAAAGGTCTGAGCTTTGGATGAGAGGAAGGGATCCTCCGAGCCGTCCTCCTTCACCTCCACGATGTGGAGACGAGGCTGGTACTTGTGGAGCGACTGGAGCACTATCATCTGGAGCGGAGAGGGACGGGTAGTTGAGGAATTTTTTACTTTTATTTGATAGAAAACAGTAGAGAGTCAGAGGGGAAATGTAAGGATGGATGGGTGTTGCAGATACAAGCATCTTAGAGCACTTTTGCACTGTCACATCCCATAATGTGGTTCATTTTGATATGGCATGATGCAGAAAATGAACTTCTCTTTTACAACATGGATAGGCCATGTGGCTGTTTGTGTTACAGTTATATCAAAATATTTAAAGCAATGTTTTTGTCATTAGATAATTAATTGAACCAGTATGTTTATTAACCTGCAAAATTAATATGATGCCTGTCTTTTGCTAAAATAATAAAGAATAAACTGGTCTAGCCACTAGATGCAGAACATGTACTTTGCATACAGTGAAACAGGCACTGATGGAGATATTAGAGACAAAAAAGGCAGGAAAGGACAGTACCTGTGCCACATTGTTGGTGCTGCCCTTATTGTTGGTGAGCTTGAGTTTGCTGAACGACACCTCTTGTCTCATCCAGTGAGCTCCTGTGTTGGGAGAGTCGGGGTGCATGTACATCCTGTTCCCTGCAGACGTAAAAGCAAATCATGAGCCACACATACAACTGTGACTCCACCGGCTTCTAAATGATATTTAGTGTTAAATATGACCCGTCACATCTAAAAGAAACATTATTATTTACACTTTATGTCACTTTAACAAGCAGAAATCCCAGCATCAGACATATAATGCCAATATACATACAACCTGAAACCATGGTGATGTTTGAAATGGAATAAATCTGAATTGATTCCTAAATTATTAATAATAAATATCAAATATAGGAAAAAATGAAGCAAATCAACGTCATGTTAAATTTGGTGCAATAAAAATTGATTTTCTGACGCTAACTCCTCCTGGTGCAACCACTATGGACTGTACAATGTATTTATTTCAGAAAACTGAACATGCCAAATGAATAGCTGGGGTTGCTGTGGGTGTTATTTACTGCCAATATGTGAAAAAAAATTCATCACTTTTATGCGGTTGATTCAGTTTAAGGAGTGAGATGTAAATACCACATTCCCACCATATTTTACCTTAAAAAACATACATTTAGTTTAAAGTTTCTGCAGACAAAGGTGATATTCCTTCCATCCCTTCTATGTTTCATACATTCTAATTGCAGGATAGAATCTCAGCGCCAAGATTTTTCACAGCATTTACCACAATGACCTGCTAACCTTATATGAGCACACCACATAAGTGCACTATTAAATCTAATTGAGTAAAACTGTTTCACCACAGTTTCCACAACTGTAGCACATCAATAGTCACCTTTCTGCAACACCTGGCACATGTGTGACAACACCTTGCACTTTCTCTCATTTATATAATTGTGGTTTGTCTATCATCAATCACACACAAAATGTCATCTTGGTTGACTTGCTATTGCTTTTTTTCTGAGGTGTGAACAGGAAGAAATAATGAATGAATGAATGAAAGGAGGAAGAGGGCACAGGGAGTATGAGGCATGGATGGAGACAGAGGTATGAAGCAAATCCATGTTTCTCAGAGGACTGTAAAGTCAAAATCAAATGCTCTGTTGATGAGTCTTTAGAGATGAAGCAGAAATGGGAGATTGAGACAAGATACTGGGAAGAAGCATGAATGAATGACTAATTAGATCACCTCCATGTAATAACAAGACACTTCTGTACACGTCATGCTGCGAAGGAAACGTGACCAACCATACTCGCAATTTTTGTTCATGTCCAAAGTTATGTAACTACTAGAAAGATGAGTTCAGTGCCCTTTGATGATCCCAGAAATAAGAGACTTTTTCCACCCCGTAAAGAAACAGTTAAACGTTAAGTCTATCTGAAAAAATCAGCAAAACTGTACTTGTTTCTTTCTGGACAGCGTCTAAGAGGTGGTTGAAACTTGATCAAGAAAAACTGACATGTTAAAATGTGAAAATGCATTTAATTTGCACTGCACCATAAAGTATAAGATGCTGAAATTAAAATTAAAAAGGGCCAACTCCCCATCTTTTTTGCTGATGGATGCAAGTTGCATAACAGTTGAGAGCAGGTATCTTACAACTAAAATAAATCTAGCTCTAATTTTATAGATACTTCTTTTGAACAGGTTTTGAAAGGTTCATCATTTCTCATTTATCCTCCCAGCAGAATGTACAACAAAGCTGCTTACTCAAATAACAGCAACAGCAAATATCAGATAGTCCGCAGAAACCTCTCAGAATACTTGTGCATCATGATGCACATCTTGGTTTCCCTACTGTATGCATGTAGGTTTGCTACAATATTGCTAAATCAACCACTTCCTCACCATCTTCCATTTTGCATGCACTGAGCTGAGGACCCAGCTCACTGACTGACCAGGATTTTCAGTTCATCAGCTGGTCACACATCATTAACTTTGTGTGAGAATTTGCTTTTGGAAGCCACAGAAAGAAACGTGATGATTTTCTTTTTTTCATTTACAGCCACTGGGGGTAAGTGAACACAAAATTATAATGTTTGGGTGAAGTGCTCTGTAAAAGATTGAAGAATGAGCATGTTTCCTGCAATCAATGTGATGTTTTAAACTAGAAAACAGCATGCTGAGCTCATTACTCCAAATTTCACAACACTAAAACGATTAGAGAGGATAAACATTTGTTGTCAGTGAGTCAGAGAACTTTTTTATTTGCTCTCTAATCTGTCTTTTCATTATCTGATTCAATAATGAATGTCTACTTTCTAAAGAAATCATGTTTATGGAAGCTTTCGCAACAAAAAGCCTGAATCATTTTTGGTTATCAGATAGACACAGCACATTTCAGCATCATTATTGTCATTAAGGCTAAATGACTGTGAATTTTATTGAGTTAAACGTACCTGGCATGTTACCTTCTGCCTTCCCACACTGGACCCACTTGCCGCCCTGGTATCTCCAGTGGTGTTGATCTGCCAGAACCACATCCACGTAGACATTATAGTGGGCAGACGGCTCCAGGACACTGATGTTGAAGCTCAGAAAGGGGAACATCCTCCTGCATAAACACACAAAGAAAAAAACATTCACTGCCAGTCAGATGTAGTTGTTTTGGGGATATTCATTTATACTTTTGTCAACATATGTCTATAATTTTTGAGAATATAGATGCCAGAAGAAGTTTACAGACCTTTTACTTTAGTAAAAGTAGCAATACTAAGAGTCATGCGTAAGTATTTGCATCAAAATACACTTAAAGTACCATAAGAGCTTGGGTAAATGTATGCAGTTACATTCCACCACTGGCTAAAATTTACATGAAATTCTAATACACCTTTTGCAAATGGTTTTTGTGTTCCTTTCAAAAAAGATCATGAAAGTTGACAGTTGTTAAATGTAGTACAATTGGTTTGAATGAAAAAATACATAAGTACCTGAAGGAAAAACACTTCTCAAAGTATGCGTGCATTCTTTGGGATTTAAAATGCATGTACGACTTCAACTGTGCTGAGACTGTGCAGTATTTTCCTTGCGTAAAGTATTTTTAATGAACACAGGGTCTTGAAAGACAAGGAAGGATGAAAGAAATTCACACTTTCAAATTCTGCAAATTAAAGGCAAAGCAATGACAGTGACAAAACCTAGTGTGACATGTTTATCACAATGCTCCCTTTTAAATTATTAAGCTCCATTTGTGCCATTTGTCCTCATTTGTACAACTAATGGCTCTGCTGTGAATGAAGATATAATAAGTGATAGGCTGTTTAAGGGCAATGATGCATGTTGTAAGTCAGGGAGGTGATTCTCGTTTGGACCTCATGACTACCAGACTCTTTCTGTTTATTCACAAGATGAGGAACCAGAGTAAAGGGGGGGTGGGGGAAGTTGGGGAGGCCTACTGTAAGTGAATATTTAATGCTGCTGTTAATAAAAGATGCTCCAGAAGCTGCTCATGATTGCAGGAGCTTTTCATATTGAACTCATTTTGATCGCAGAGGGCTTCAGTGAGACGGGGTAACCAGGAGGTCAATGTTTTCCCTGGGCACCACAGCCCAGTGAAGGAGAGGGAGAGGCTGGGTTAAACTGAGAGAAAAAGAGACACACAAATATGAGACATGGACGCTGAATACACAAAACCCTAACGCACCATGACAGATGGATATTTGTGACATCCTACTGTTGCATAGTTATGTATACACTAAGTGCCTGTAGTGCTGACAGAGGAGCACTTCCAGCCTCTGTTACCAACCCTGCAGAGTAGTAACCATTTTACATTATAGAGCACATAAAGCAACAAACAATCAATGTAATAGTTGTTGGAATGTTTCAGAGTCAAGTCCACAAAACAGCTACAACTAATGCTGATTAATTAACATGTACAAACACTAAAGTGTACAAACAACAAGTTGAGGGTGAGCTAGCTGTTTCCCTCTACGCCCAGTCTTTTAGCTAAGCTAACGCTACGTCCAAACTGCTACGTTTTTCATTTTAAAACTGTAAAGGAAAGTTGTTGTTTTTTTTTTTTGTTTTTTTTTTTTTCACTATTTTTGTTTCATCATCCTTATTTATATGTTGCATTTATTTTACTTTCTGTTATTTATTTTATTTGTGTGTATTATCCATATTTTCCTATGTTGTCTCTTATTTTACGCATAACACATGACCATTCACGTGCCGGTGTAAACAGGAAGCGAACAGTCTACGCCGCAGTTGGTTACTTGCTGAAAATACTACGATACAGGAACAGCAAAGGCAGTTGTAGCGTTAAAATGCAGAATTTAGCAAAGACAACAAGGTGAGTAACGCTTGTAATTAGTTATCCATGTTGCTTTCACCATGAGGCTGATAAGACACACCACATCAGTTTTCAAAGTAAAACGAGGCCAGCAGCTTTTCCAAACGTCTGCGTTTTAATGGCTGGAAAACTCCGGAGTAGTGTGGACGCTACAAAGAAACACATTTGTTTTGGCCGTGATATTTATCTACTCATCTCATGGTCTCTGCACAACTATTTCATTGAAGGAGAAGTACAATGTCTGACTGGCCAAGTAATGCACCACTCACAGCGCTGCAGTCTCGGTCTATATGAGGTCACTGGAGTGTAGTTGGTGTTAATAAATCAGGGCAACATGTTTGACATTTTGGCCCAGCTGTTTTACACTGGCTAACAGTACCTGAGGCTATGGAGCAAATACACCCTCCCACCCCCATCCCATCCCATCCCTTTGATTGAGTTTTATTTTAAACAGTATATCCTGGGTGTAGCACTTTTGCAGCACAACTTTGTTTTTTTTTTCTGCCTGCAACTGTCAAGTTTCAATGCAAATGGAGTGAAAGAGATAAGAAGTATAGAGTTGCTTTGTTCTATACAGTGCATGGCTTAAATTAGTCATTGTAAGAGTGCATATATAAAGGGAAAAAAAGAAACTTCCTTATCAGAAATGCACTGCTATTTCTTTTCTAAAACATTTTAGTGTAGGTGGAAACAATAAGATAAGATCTGTTACTGCTGTAAATTCACTAACTCGCTGTTGTCTTGGTACAAAACAAGCTTCAATCACATAGTGATACGTTGGTCCTTTGCATTTTCAGAGAACCAGAATAGAAGTGCTGTTTAGGCTTAAACTACCACAACTGTTATCTCATTTAAATTCAGTTTGTCCTCCCTGCAGATACTTGGTCATTTAGTGGTGTAACAACAAGTGAGTGCATTGGAGGCTACTGTCAGCAGACTGGTGGGACAACTGGAGGGCCCGTCCTCATTGAAGAGTGTTTGTGTGTGTGTGTGTGTTGCCTGAATCTTTGTACATGGATGTATTTATATAGTTAAAAAAAATAAGTTCATAAAGTTAGTCTGAATATTCTGAATATATCATATTTCTTTATTTTTAGGGCACGTAATGACATAACATAACACTACTCTAGAAGTGGGTATTTGCTGTCTGTAATGTGAGCATTGAACACTAAACTTATTCTTTAATCACATATATCCTGATGTCACTCATAATTTTGCCATTTTTATTTTTTGTAGGTAAAGTTCTCATACTGTGCCTTTTGTTTAGACGCCAATTAAAGGCTGGTAATTCTCTATATTTTCCTTATTATCAACAAATCACAAACCAAGTATCGTGTGTGTATCGTACACCTCATATGTTTCCTCTGTGCCACCGAGCTCTTGTCCAAAATGACACGTTCCGTCATTACCATGAACACACATACTGCAGTTTATGTTGACTCAGTCACACACACACACACACACACACACACTGTCCTGCTTGTCTATTAATCTGCAGCTGAAAATACTCCCCAATGCATCATTTCCTCCTATTTGAGTAACGTGTGATTAATAAATAAAGGGCGCAGTTGTTTTTTTTGAAAATGATTTGTAGTTTTTTCTTTTAAATCACTACCTATTGATAATGAAACAAGACTCAAACTGACACTACTCATCTATGTCCTCATATTAACAAAGCTATAAATTAAAAACACTGTCAAAAATCTTTACCCTCCCTATATTAAGGCCTTGTTGTTTGCTGTATTGGATTAGATATGGATATGATTGAATTTGTGTGATGCAGGCTCCTCAAAAAGCTCAACATATTCACAAATATAGTCTTTTGATGATGGCTCTCTATGTTTCTGGACTGAGCACACACACACACAGACACACACGCTCTTCCTTACCCTTCACTGGTAAGACAAAACCCTTCCCTGACTGGTCCCAGTTGGGTCTTTCTGGCTACACGGCGAGTCCAGTTTAACAATCAATCATAGTTCTGGGTGAAACACAATCGTGGCAGCAGCTCTTTAGTGGCTTGCAAAGAACAGGTGACATGGCTCTTCTTCCACTGCAGCGTTTAATACAAGTGAAAACAGAAACTTGGCTGTTCAGCAATGGCTGAACCCACCTACACTGAAGCGAGATAAATCTAGAAAGTAGATGAGTAGTTATCGTTTTTGCTCCACTGATATTGTCGATTCACTTATACTAGAGCTTTTATAGGAAATCAGTACTTGGTAAAGGGGGAAACCATAGAAAACACAACACAGAGGGGTATTTGCATGCGGGGGCGGCATTTAGGTTTTATGTACAGAGTTCACCGAGAGAAGCTGAAAAACCCAAAACACATGATAGTGTGCAGGTATTTAGTCAGTGTGGTGGTGGCGGTGGCGTGGTGCAGTTTCTGACTACAGTGTGACACATACATTATTTTATTTTTACATGACAGTTAAAATCATGAGGAGGACTGAAGTGTTTGCTGTTTCTTAGCAGATGATTTTACAGCAGGCTGGAACACAGATACGAGGAGTTGCTTGGACACCAGTGGGAATCAAACCGGCAGCTCTGCAGCTAGCGGACAGACTCCCTAACCAACCTGCCAGTGTGCCACTCTGATTCAACGGAAACTTGACAGTAATGACAAACGGCTGGCGCTCCCTCAGCCCAATCCAGGTATATACGCACATGAATACTCATAACTGTAGTCTTCTTTTCAGACAAAACACCATAGAAACAGACGAGTTTGGTGAACCAACCAGTAATACAGAGACAGTACCGGTGGTGGTGACATTTAAAAAAAAAAAGAAAAAAAAAAATCAAAATAAACTGAGTGAATGTTGGGGAGAGAGGAAGAGGAGGGGGGTTGGGTTTGGGTAGACAGAGGGCGCGGGAGGGGAAACCGCGGGGGGGAAACGGAGGTTAGAGAAAGGGGAAAAGGAAAGAGCAGAGGGTGGAGTGAGGGGAAGGAGGGGTGGAGGGTTTGTCCTGGGGATGCAAGGCAGAGGCTCGAGAGGAGGAAAGGAACTGGATATTCACCAGGGAGAAGACTTTTCTACATGAGCGCACCCGCTGATTCATCCGGACAGGAGTTCAGGTCCAGTTTTTGTCACCGTGTGTACGCTTGATCATCTGTGACGAAAACATGCCAGTCTACAGCTGCTGCCGGACACAAGCACTCTTCAACACGCAGGCACTCTTGTATCTGTGTTGACTTATTTTAGAGAAATTCAGCCACTAGAGATGTTGAAATTTCATCTGATACTGTTTCATGCTTCATG